TCAGTTGATTTAACGCGGAGTCCACAACTGCAGACTTTAAACTTGAGATATGAATTAATAAACTTTTATTCTTCGATTCGGCAAATAATTAGTCGACCATGCCACACACCGAACAAATACTGTCAACTTTTAGCACCGCTTCTGTATAATCTACTACTACAGGTTAGCATGTTTACCTGGCTGTGCCGAGCAGTAACACACGATTTAAATTAGCTAATTCTAAAATAAGAAATCAATTAAGTGAAAAAATCATATGCCGAATTAACTACAGCATGTTATAGATTTGTAAACAAGCTAAGGTTATGCTCTGTCATTTATGTGCTCTTGTCTAAAATCAAGAGATCTTTAAACTACAACTTTTCTAAATGGAGTTTGGCGGAACGGATCGATTAATGCTAACGTTTTAGCCGCTACAACAACACTCTTTCCCTGCCTAAATGTGGCTAAAGCAGCGACGCTAACGCTCCCACGAATCAATATCTATGACGTAATAATGTATAACCTGAAAATTAAAATCGACTCACCGGCATTTACGTTGATGACAGCAGCTGTAACGTGTGATCATGTGGGGACCAAAAACTGAAGCGTGCTCCGTTTCAACTTCCTGTTTGGACTCCTGCGTCATCGTGGCGTTATAGATCAGCCTCATGTAGATCAGCACCACATAGAATCATGACACATAGAACCACAGGAAAGGCAGTGTAGTTCAGTTGTTTGAGGGGGCCAAACAACTGAACTATTATAGACGATTAGGGCCACAGTTCGGATTTAAAGAAAAAAGTCAGAATTATAATTTAAAAAAAATTCCATTCTTACCAACACACATAAAAATAAAGCTAAAGTTTTTCTATATTTTTTTTAATTGTGAACAACTTCCATGGTGCATTTCAGCAGCGTATTAATCCACATTTGGGTCCTTTCACAGATGTTATTGAAATATTAAAGATGGTGTCCCATTACTACAGAGCGTTTATGGGTTTTTATGTGCATTTTAATTTTGCACATAAAAAAACGTGTGGGAACATTGAAAAAAAATTCAAAAATATCACAAAAAGTTTTTATGCTCGGCTGATGTGGAAAAGCTGGTGAATCGTTGAAAGCAATAGAAACAGACTCTGCTGTATTTTCCTCTGCATCTGGAGGGAAAACCAGCCACATCAACCACAAACTCACATTCTTGACAGCTGAACTCATGATGGTTCTTCTTCTTCTTCTTCTTCTCTCTCCTCCAGGTACATCCTTCTCTTCCTCAACCTCTTGCTCTTCTTCAGTGGTGGTTTCTGCCACAGGAGTCAGGAGGAGAGGACGCCCCCAGCAGCGTGGATGCTACATGTTCGAAACACCACCCACTACTGGTCAGACTGTTTACTACCACATTATAACCAGAGGCTCTGACCTGTACAGGTCAGAGGTCAAGTCCCTGTAGGAGCAGATCTGTTTCTGTTAGGAGCGAGGTGCAGGTCACTGACTCCACTGTGATACTACAACTTTCTGTATTGTGACAAAAACAGAGGAAAATTCACCAAAACTCCATGTAATGAAACACCCTCACTCTTTGTGAGTCGCTGTTTATAAACCATTAATAAGAACAACTTGTGTGTTGCCAGGTTGAGGAAAATCATCCTCCTGTTTGACCCTTTGACACTAGCTAGACGCCTCCATGTCATCAAGTGTGTCATTAACAAAGAGTTTCAATGTCCCCTAGAAATGTTAATAAATCATTAATAAAAGGTTCTGCAGTAATCCATCCCACAGCTGGTCAAACGGCCCATCTCTCTATTATCACTAGGATTATAAAAAAGTCTCTGCTGAAGGAGGATTTTCCACAACCTGGCAACCCAAAAGTCATTCTAAATGATTTATTCAACAGTAATAGAGCTATTAACTACAGCTTATAAACACTTTATAAATGCTACCTTAACAGAAAGTGGTGCCAAGACTTCTACGTTATCTGAGAAAGCAGACGCGCTGTAGAAAACAATTACACACTGAAGAAAACCGATACAGTGATCAATACTTTGTGATTACTGTATCTAGAAGTGCTGGAGCAAAGGAAACTGGACTGGATGTTGATTCTTGAAGACGTGTCGCCTCACATCCCAAAAGCTTCTGGGGTGAGATGTGAAACGTCTTCTGGAAATCACATGACTAAAAAAATTTCACATTTCGCCAATTTACTGAACGTCACTGAAAATGAAATCCTACTGATCTAAGTGGGTTAAAGGGTCTGACATCGAATTCCAGCTGCGTTAATCTTCGGTTTAGTCTTTCAAAAAGATCATAAACAAAAAACCTTATTGTATGTGTGAGCGGCAGTATTGAAAATTCAGTTTCAAAATGTCATTTCCAGCTGTTGAGAAAGTGTAAGACAAACATCCTCAGACTGGGGAGGGGGAGGGGGGGGGCATCAACTGTACTGTGAATCACAATATTAAAATACAGAGTCTCTACATCCGAGCAGAGGCAGGTGAAATAAAGACGAAGCATGTGATACAGAAACAGTGACAACAGTAAGTCAGTAAACAGCCTAAAAAACACTTGATTTCACAGAGTGCCGCCGATGCACAAAGGTAACGAGAGAGAGAGAGAGAGAGAGAGAGAGAGAGAGAGAGAGAGAGAGATCATTAAACCTAAACACTGGCAGTGAGTCAGAGTGGGACGGACGTTTTTGTGGATGGTGGCATGTGTCGTGTCATTTTCTATAAAATACAAACTGTAAAAACAGGACACTGTGAGGATATCTTGTATGTACATACAATTAGTAAGTTTTTTACGGTTGTGGGAAAGTTTTCGTTCAAAACCGCTCGTAACAACTGTTGAAGTTTATATCTGAAATATTTACAGCAGAGATGCAGATTTGTCAAATTTAGGATATTAAGTGTTTAACTGGTTGTTTTTAGAAAATATGTCCAATATACCTGGGTGCCATTCAAAGACGTTTGTACAAATAGTACAAAAAAAACTGGCAGTAAAACGCGTCAGTGGTGACACCTGCAAAGTATTATGTGCCTCATTACGTCATAAAATCAGACGTTACAGAGTCAGAATGATTCATTCAAGTGTCACGACATGGACAGTGTTTGTAAAAAGAACCGGTTCTGTCTCATGTTGCACTATCATGACTTCATACACGTTAGAATTAGACAAAAAACAAAGTCTTTCTACGTCTGATTACAATCACAGTGTCAGTAAATCAGCTAATTACAGCAAACCAGAGTGATGTGGTCCGAGGTGAGAGAAGCAGCGGCGGGTGAAGTGAACACGACTACTGTGTTAACAACAGATTAACGAGCGTCAGCTGGTCCTCGCTCTCAGGGGGTGTGGCTTGTGTACAGGTGAGAGAGGAGCACAGTTCGTAAAGTGAAGAGACGACGGAAGACCAAAGTGCTTCTCAAGTAATCAAATACAAAAAAAAAAAAAACTAAGCAAAAGGCAAACATATATTAAAATCTAATATAGTGAATCAGTTAATAAACAATATTTTAATATACATTTTCTCCAGTAAAGGCCTTTTCACACCAAGTCCCAACGTCCTGCACAAAAGTAATACATGTTCATTAAAAGGCTCTGAGCCTTTCAGATAGATTTCAGGTAAAAACATTCAGAGAAACCAAATCCTGCAAGGTTTGGATGGTGGGTCCAGGTGGGCGGGGCTTGGTGACTGCTTTGTTGTGACATCACAAAGTTCCAGAAGTCCTGACGGCTGGTTTTAAGGCTCAGTTTCTGAATACAGGCTGTGTGCATTTCTCTGTGGACTGAGGCTTTGATACTTTCACAGTATTAATATAGAAGCTAGACCTGATCTATAATCACACTACACATGGACACAGACCTTTACACTGGAGGAGCTTTAATATTTTATTTGCAAAGGTCTTGAATTTTTCTTGCCTGCCTTCAGACAGTAAGATTCTTGTACATCATAACGTTTTGTGAGTGTTTTCAGGCTGCTGGACGACGTTAAACACTTAGAAATTAAAAGTGGGACTGTGGTGACAGTGGACTGAACTGTTCAATTTTTAACGCAAAAATGAAATTAATCAATTATCTGTAATTGGTTTATCTATACATTAATTTTGTGCCACTTATATTGGTCCATCTCAGGTTAGTTCATTAATTAATTTACTAAGAATTAATGTTTCATGCAGCTGGGAAGCTGAGAGATAGTAGGCGTCAATAAAACATCATTAATAAATAATTGAAGCCTGGTTTTATGTTAAAGTATTAAAAGTCTTTTTATGTGGCGTTGAAAAAGTCTTAAATATAATTGTGAACGCTGCAGAAACCCTGAAAACTGATTTTCTTCTTCTAGGAAGGAGGATAAGGACAGTGAGTTCGTTATTTACTTCTTATCTGAACTTTTTTTTTTAAGTAGAAGAAGAAGTTGAAAAATGGGTGAAACATCAGCATTATATACAGTTTATTAGGAAAAAGAGCTACCTGAGAAAATGTGCTTAGTTCCAGTGAAGGAAAAAGTGAAACCAGAGAAGTGGAGGCTGTTGGAGCAGCGAATGTTCGACTGTCCACTTACTTTTTTACTACTTAGTGTTTGCAACTATTTAGTGGAAGAACTTGCACCAGACATGTTTTCTCTTGGTGGTCAGGATCCTGACTGTAGACTGGTTTGGGACTCGGTGTGAAAAGGCCTGAAGGCACGATGAAACACCAGCAACACTCAGAGGAAATAACGGCAGTCAGTCAGAGTTCTGTCGCGTTACAGAAGAAGAAACAAATAAAATATAAAAGTCATCTTCACAGTGTGACACCGCTGGCATTAGGTTGTTGTATCTGACGACTTAGTAGAAAAGAGGGAGAAAAATAAAAAGTGCAGGCAGCCCCGCGCAGAGGAGCAGGAGTTTCCACTCCACTGTGGGGAAAGAACCAGAGTCTCAGAAGGGTCAAAGGTCAGACAGGTAGCTCCCGCACCAGGAAACAGGTGTCTGGGCTCAACACAGTGACGGAATAAAAACAAAAAAAGATCTTCATATCTTCAGAAAAGAGTTTTAAGAGTTGGCAGACAAACTGCTCCTGCCTGATGACCGGTCAGTCCATTCTGAGGGCGTGGCGACCTCGATGGGGTCGATCTGAGGAAAGACCACGAAACACAACCTCTGGCCCACGTACGTCGCCCGCTCTGCAGGAACACACAAGTCACAAGAGTTATTCATCAGCAGTGTTGAATCCAAACCCAAGAGTCTCTGCAGGACTTAAAGCGAACTGGATTCAGGTCCCTCAAAAGAAGGATTTAGAAAGTCTTAGATTTTATTCACCTGCAGCAGACAGTAACTTTAGTTAGAACTTCTTTCGTGGGTTCAGGTACGGATGGATTGTGAGACAATGGGCCCCAAAACTGAAAGAGTTCTGGGCCTGTTCAGTTATCTACATGCTCCAAAGTCTTAGAAAGTCCGTTGAATTTGGTGCAGAAACCCAGAAACCTTAAAGCGGACTTCCTCAAACAAGACTCACCGATGAAGTTGTAGATACACTTTGGTTTTTCTTTCCAATGGACACCCAAGAAGTAGACGGGAACGCCGGTGAGCATGATGACCAGACCGACGCCGCAGACCACGGGCTCCGAGTACAGACTGAAACCCAGCAGCAGCGCCCAGAACATCAGGTAACACACAGGGACCAGCAGGTTCACCTGAAGAAAACACAGATCAAAGTTTACAATAACTCATGATTTACCGATTAAATAAAAAAATAGTTGAGCTGCACGTGATGACGCATCACTTCTCGGTACCTTGATGGGTCGGTACAGGTTGGGTTTCTTCCAGCGGTAGTACAGCAGACCCGCGATGGTGACGCCGTAAGACAGGTAGTTGATGAAGGAGACGTAGTTGATCAGGTTGTGTGTTTCTCCGATGCAGAGTATAACGATGGTGGCGGTGCACTGCAAAACACAGCAAGGCCACCAGCTTTACATCTATTCACCTACTGGAGTGGAGCTGCTCAGCAACTCTTCAAACAGCTGGATGAAGTATTTTCAGGCCGACGGTCGACTTACAAACGTTCACGTCCTTAAGACCTGTGAGGATTCAAATTCTGCACATTGACGGTCAAACACTGCATCCACTAAATGTGGGTTTGTTTGTCAGGCACTTCCGTATCATGCAGCACTGATGAGGCTGATATTTGAAACTACAATAACTCCAATACGACATGAAAGCAGAATAATAAAGACAGGAAACGTAGGATCCAGTGTTTTTAGATCTCAACCCAGACAAGGGACTAAAAGTTGAAATGTTTATGTCTCAGTCATTTGTGTAAATATCCGTCTCTTGTTAGCGCCCCGGCTGGAGGAGTGGAGCGCCACTCTGAAAACTGTGTAAGATTACATGTATGTTGAGTTCTGCAATGACACTGTGGTGGAGGGACAAGATAAGCAGCAGCCTCAAAAGGTGCGTTTCCATTTACCTGCTTAAGGTGGAAATTGAAATTGCTCATTTTAAAACAAGTAACGGAAACACGTGAATTTTGAAGAGAAACAGATGCTGAGAATCTGGGAAACACAGACCATTTGCAGTTGTGTTTGGTCGACTTTTTGGAAAAAGGAGATTGCCTCTATTTTGTAAAACTGAAATGGAAACCCGGCTCCTGATCCCTCTGGAGAAATCGTGTCATTACGGCTTCTGTAATAATACTGTAGTCATTTTAATTTATGATCCAGCAAACTTCACTTCTTAGAATCTGGAATCAATCAGTGAACAAATCTTCAACTTCACCTTTAATCTAAACTTTGAAAAAGGTTTAATCAACATTTTCTCAACTATTGGCAGATGTGTCCAATTTTGTGTCTCGCCGTCAGATGAAAACTGCCAAACATTACCCAGAGCGGGAAACTAACTGAAGCATCTACAGTGTGAAAGAAAACGAGGCGCGCCTGTACATACGCAGACCAGGAGAGCAGGGATGGGTGTGCAGTTCTTATAGTGGATCATGGCCAGCAGGCTGGGCAGGTGACCCTCTCTGGCCCCCGAGAAACACAACCTGCGGGCGGAAACACCGGACAGACCGTCAGCAGCCGTGTCGGAGCAGGAACAACCGTCAGAGCGTGAGGAGGCGGGCAGAAGAGGCGGAGCTCACCTGGAGGAGGTGAACAGGTAACCGTTGATCCCTCCAAAGGTGGACAGAGCCACGGAGATGGGCATGATGACGGAGAACATCCCCAGGAGCTTCTCCCCGAACGTCTGAGCAGCAGAACGACAGACAGAATCAGTGACGGGTACAGATCTGGATCGGGTCTGGGTCGAGATCTCTGATGACGGACGGGTCGGTCAGTGATCAATACTGTGATATCTTGATATTATTGAATATGGGCCCGAGCCTCGTCTAAGACGTCCTAAAGGTTGTAGCTTTAAGGAAGCTGAGCAACACATTTCATCGCTCTTTCATGTAGGTAAGAAAGTGTGCTAATGCTGAACTATATTCTGTATGTGTCTCATCTGCTATCACCTCCGACCTTTGACCTCCGACTGGCTGCTTGCATTGCTCCTGCTCGTCGCGCACAAGATGAAGCACAAATGAGACTCAGGTTCAGACACGTTACTCACTACAGCCACGGCATTGGACGACAGCAGCTCCTCGGGCGACATGGAGGAGAAGTAGGCGATGTTGGTGAGCGTGTACACAAAGGTCACCAATGGAATGGAAATGTAGATGGCACGAGGTAGATTCCTGACCGAGGCCACAACACACACACACACACACACACACACACACACACACACACACACATGCAGAGATGAAACCAAACAAAAAAATCAATCAAACAAGCATGAAAGTTGATCAAAGGAACTAGAAATTAAAACAAACATCGAAATATCAAATATTGATGTTTCTGATCAGGAGACAGTGAAGTTCATTGTTTTCACTCAGTCCCTCCAAAAAGAAAGGAAATGAACATGATGCTTTACAGTGTGTGTGGGGGTAAAAACAGGAAATAATGAGCACTGACGACTTGGCAAATCACTCAACAGAAAAGAGAAGGTGCAACAGCTGGAGACCAAAACTTAAGACTTCGTTTAGACAAAAACTGAACTTGAAAAAGCCCAAAATGCGGCGACAAGCAGAACAAAGAAACAAGTAAAGATGCACCGTTACTGGAAGACGTTAAATATTCACCGTCTGGGTTCGACCACTTCCTCAGTGACGTAGTTGAGGAAGTTCCAGCCGCTGAAGGCGAAGGACGCCTGGAGGAAGGCCAGAGCGATCTGCCCGACCGACGGCGTCCTGTCCAGGGAAAAGGCCACCTGTGGGGTCAGAGCCTCGTAGTTCCCTGGGAGATAAATCACATGTTTGAGTGATGTTTTGGTTTGTTTTGTTGTTTCCCTTCAGGCCGCAGGCTGTGAGGGTTTACCGTTGCAGATCTGCACCAGGCCGACCACAATGATGAGACCCAGAGCCATCAGCTTCCCCACGGTGAAGGCGTCCTGGATCCTGGTGGCCATACGGACGCTGGAGCAGTTCACCCAGGTCAGCAGCACTGCAACACACAGACCTCAGATCACACTCACAGGCACAGGGACAGAGCACCTGATCAATCTGATTGATCAATAATGTAGTGTTATTGTTACGGTTGTCCGTCCGTGCGTCCGTTTGTTCGTGCGAAGGTACGTTCGTCCGATTCTCGTGAATGCGATATCTCGGTAACGCCTTGAGAGAATTTCTTCAAATTTAGCACAAATGTCCACTTGGACTCAAAGATGAGGTGATTAGATTTTGGGGGTGAAAGGTCAAAGTTCAAGGTCATGGCTACCAAATGTTCTGCCAGTGCGTTTCTCTGTTGACTGAGAGCTTTGAAACTTTCACAGTATTGATTCAGTGAGGGGGATCCTACATTTCCCATAATGCACCAACCCTTAATGCACACTTCCAGTTCGTAACTCAGGCTTTCTGTTATATAGGAACTGAGATAAGTCTGATGACATCACTATGACATCAGCAGCGTTACTTTGTCAGACTCGGTAAAACTCAGACGACTTTGATCTCACAGGCATTGACATTTAAAATCGGGGGAGTGCTCCTTTAAATCGACATCCCTCCATCCCTACACTGGGGTCCCGGTGCCGGTGTCGTTGCCGGTGGTGGGCGGCAGTAGCCCGTTGCCATGGGAGGCAGGAATGTGGGAAACGGGCGAGGGAGGGAGGGGGGCGATTGTTTCACCTCGTCCATCATTGTCACCGGCTTTGCCCCGCTCGCTCTGCATGGTGGCCTTGCTCTCCGGCACAAAGACGAGCTGTCAGGCCCACAAAACAAAAACACTTCCGTTGCGAAGGGGCAAACAAAACGTGGCAAGGCAAACCCCCCCCCCCCACCCCAGCCCCACCACCCACCCAACACCCACCCCCCTCTTCCCTCCACTCAATGAGGAAGGCCGAGCATTGCTCACATTTCAGCATCCAGCTCTAAAAAAACAAGCGTGAACGACGGTGTCAGAGGCGAGGAGTCACCCGCTGAAGTCCCGCCATTTCACCTCGTCGGCCGGACGCTATTCACTCACCGGTCCGACTGACGGGCTGTGGATTAATGGCGCTCGGTGCAGGTGCTCTCAGGCAAGACACCAAGCAATTAGGCAGCATGACAGGTCCACAATGACCAGTGTAACGTCAGCTCAGGGCTGTACAACACATCCTCCGGGAAGTCTGCCGGTCCTGTCGCACTCTGTTCGTCCTTACACTCCTCCTGCAGCGTGGCAAATCTATTTTTCATATGAGCGTCTAAATTTTAGAGGAGCTCTGCTGCAGGATCCTTCATAAAATCTGCAGGTACTTCGCGGTTTGGCTGAGATGAATGAAGTCGTAGAACGGGACAAGTCTTTCAGCCTTTGGTTAGCTGTTCAGATCCTGCTGTACACGTTGTAAAGGTCTGAAACTTCTCTACCTCCACTTTTTTTACTGGGACTCGCCGGTTCGAGTCCCGGCTCTTCCTGACCGCATGTCGAAGTGTCTTTGGAATTTCCCTGTAATGTAACATCAGCGTGTGAGTGTGTGCATGTTGTGTAAAAAGCGCATGAATGTGAAAAAGATGTTAAGAGTAATAAGCTCGATATACTGTAAGTGCAGTCCATGTACCTGTCTAACCGCGAGAGCATCATCACTCACGTGTCATTATATTTAAAGCAGCATTAATTAATATTAAATGAGTATTTTTCTGAATTCTTTTTGTTAAATGATGAAAGTCGTCTTTCTGACGTCTTTTAAATATATTTGGATTTTCAGGAGCAGTAATTGTCTGGTGATGAAAGTGTTTCATCACCAGTTTTTTATTTTCCGAACCACAGAAACCAAAAACGTTTCCCCCTTGTCCCGTCTTCCCGCCCTGCTCTCCTCCCCCCTCCCTCCCCCGAGGGCGCTGTGCATTTTTTACTGCAGCCATAAAAAAAGGTTTTAAAAAGCGTCAGGCTGCAGTTACATAAGAGAAACTTCACACGTGACCACTTCCCCTCTCAGAGACGTGCCGGAGGAGCGGACCTGTGGTGTAGTGATGGCGACGACGGGGAAAAGACGACATGTCATCCTTCATGAAAGATGCAAATGCTCTGAGAGACACTCAGCAGCAAGACGCTTCCTCCCTCCAAACTGCAGCCGCATTAGAGCAGCAGTACTTGTATGTAGTCTGTACCTGAACGCACCACACTCCTGTTCATTACACATACAGCGTTTTTAATGCAGCGGTGTCACTTACGGAGACAGGTGGCAGACAGCATCCGTGTTGCCATGTATGGAGGGACACAGTTCGGGAAGACGGGCTGCAGGACGTAGCTGGAGAAGGTGAGGGCGATGACGGCCAGCGTGGTCGGATACATGATGAGGACGGCGCTCCACAGCAGGAGAAACCTGGACGTTCAACAACAACACTTCTTATAATTCAGTACAACACAAAAAAAACTGTTTGAAAAACCTGAAACATTTACGTTTGACTTTTCTGTCATTTTAATTGAGTTCAACTTTTCATTGTTAAAGGAAAAGTTCAACATTTTAGAAAATACACTTATTTTGCTTGTGTTGCCTTTAGACAGAGGCAGCCTTGTTGTTTCCAGTCTCTGTGCTAAGCTAAGTTAGCCAGCTGCTGGCGAGAGCTTCATGTTTATCATCAGGGGTCAAATTAGATATGTTGTTTCCACATGTGCTTCACATGTAACGTCCAAAAAACACATGGGCCCTGAATGCCTCACATGTGAAATCACTGAGGTTTTTTGTTTTTCCTCTTCACTCACCCCATCAGTCCACCGAATATCTCCGTGACGTAGGAGTAGTCCCCCCCAGACTTGGGGATGGTGACGCCCAGTTCAGCGTAGCATAAGGAGCCCAAGGCGGCGATGCATCCTCCCAGTAACCAAACCACCAACGCCAAACCCACCGAGCCCGAGTGCTCCAGGACCCCCTTCGGAGAGATGAAGATCCCGGAGCCGATGATGTTCCCTGAGGACAGGGAGGAGAAAGGTGTGAGGTACAGACAGCTGGAGATTCTCTGTTGATTAATAACAGGGTCTTCCCACCTGTTGAGGTGTGATTACTTCACCTGGCTCTCCTCAGCAGCCATAATGGTGATTATCAGGATGGTTGATAATAGGATGATTATGCTGTCTGCTGTACATGTACACGCAAATATGTGAAAAGATTATATTATGCTATTGTTATAAGGATGTTGATGACATGATGTCATCAACATGCGACCAAATGAAGCGGACGAACGATACCGTGACTAAAATCACAGATTTCTCCGGTTGGAGAAGAACACGACTCAACAACATGCAGAACGAAGGTCGAGTCGTTTTTAGACGTTTTAATGTGGGAAAGTTACAGGTTATAACTTCACCACGTGCACGGTGCACGTGCTTTTCATGTGTGACTCGTCTGGCACGTCTCAGCCCGATCATCTCCGACATAAAAACCACCGGTGACCCGCTGAGACTCTTGAGCAACCCCCGGTCACACAATCCAGACTGTTCCCCTCTGAGTCTATACAGAGGGCATTAAAACACAAAGAGCTCTATAACAGAGTGAGTTAGAGAAGGAGGTAAAGGCCATCACTCAGGCCGGGACAATCCCTCCTGCCCAGAGCCTCAGTATGCAGTGTAGAGTACCAGCACATCCGACACATTCAGACTACAGCGCTACCAGTAGCACGGCAGAAGGCAGCCAAGTGGCACAGACAGCCATTACATAACCAGACATAAATTATCCACTCCAGGCTGCGGAGGTGGGAAGTGACCGATTCACCTCCGTTTATTCCTGCTGCTCCACAGAAGTGGGGGGGGGAAGAAAAACACAAAACACATACTGGTGAGGTGGAGATTCAGGTCCAGAAAAGAAACTGGTTTGGTTTAATGTAGCGACACATGACTCCTGATGCCGAGCCCGGTCCAGCGTCGGTGCCCGGCAGCCAGCCTGTTCTCCCCTGTCTCCCTGTGAATGGAAAGGTGCTTCAGCATTCTGCACACAGGACATTTCTCTTGTTCTGGAGAGGGATTTTCGCAAAAATGTCCGCCTTCAGCGAGAGACAACAGCCGAGCCGAGCCGGGCCAGGGCAGGAAGGTTTGTGACCCAGTTAGCCCAAACCTGCACCGAAAAGCAAGAAGGTCCCAGCCCCCCCCCCCCCCCCCCCGAGGATTGTTGTATCCTTCAACTGCCAAAAAGCCAGCTCATTAGCTGCATTTACACTTGAGGTCTGAAGTCGCACACGAGTGGCATCGTGAGGTGGAAATGCTCATTACACACCAGAGACGGAGAAAACAGTTTGTTATTCATGAATCTTGTTATTGTTTTTGTTCTGTTAATATTATTATTAATATTTCTTCTTATTTTTCTCTGTGAGACGTGTTCCTGCAGCAAAAACTCAGAAATTGAAAGATTGGTTGCAGATTCCAGCCACTAAAAAATTATACTAATTGTCCAATAGGTGGCGCAATAATAATAATGAAGTATGCGTTAGCTTGGGCTACAGTCAAAATCATTTCGCCATTTTTGATCTCTGAAATGATCTTCTGCTCTTAAAGTGTCCAGCCATTTTCAGAAACACAAACGTAAACCAAAAACGAACTTGTCCGTTCATTGGATGAACAGAAATGGTTTGTTCTGTAGCTTCCTGATGGCGATGTGGTTAAGTTGCACGCGTTATCCTAAAGTCGTGATGTAACGGCTCCAGCCGGACCAGTCCTTCCTCTAATCTCCTCATGTTCTCCGTCTCCTCGTGTCACTGGAGAGATTATATATCTCAGGATCCCCCAGGAGGAGCTGGAAAACGTTGCTGGAAAGAGAATCGTCTGGACTACTTTGCTTGACCTGCTGCAACCGTGACCCGACCTCAGATAAGCGAAGGAAAAACAGACGGATGGATGGAAATGATCGTTAGTTGCAGCCCAGGTAGGATCCAGAGGAGATGGAGATGAGTAGGAGAGGTTGTTGTGGGAGAAAAATATACAACACCAGCTTCAAACTCAGCTTTAAAACCACGAGCACAGTTGAGACTGATACTGGGGCTTGGGGCGGGGCTTAGTGACTGCTTTGTTGTGACATCACAAAGTTCCAGAAGTCCTGACGGCTGGTTTTAAGGCTCAGTTTCTGAATACAGGCTGTGTGCATTTCTCTGTGGACTGAGGCTTTGATACTTTCACAGTATTAATATAGAAGCTAGAGCTGATCTATAATCACACTACACATGGACACAGACCTTTACACTGGAGGAGCTTTAATGTTGTAGATTTCCTGTTTTTTACTTGTTTGTTTCGGCATGTCCGATTCGAGGGTCTAACGACAGAGAGGCAAATATTGGGCTGTATAATTAGATCTGACTTATGACAAATTAGAAATTTAATATTAAACGTCCTCAGAAAATTTGAAGTTATTAATTTAAAGATATAAATTTCCATGACAGCTTCCACCTGGAAACAAAGTTAAACACTGTTCAATCTGCTCGACACATCCTCTAACACCAGCTGAGCTCAAACTTTTTCACACTGATCAATTCATTGTTTCAGCAATAGTTAAAAACCTGGCAGAGTGAATACACGTGGAAACAAAAAAAATAATGAATTTAAACATTTAAAAAGTGTTATTTAGAGGAAAGCTGCAGAACAGACTTGTTGCACTGAGGTCTGAGGAACCAGCCTGTCACCTCTCTGAGAGCAGAGCGGTGCAGCCGGCCCTCTGTGCAGCCTGGCTCCCCGCAGGCCTCCCCCTCCATCCAGCCTGGATGATGCTCCTATTTACTGAGCGGAGGTGTGTTTAAAGGTCCCTGCTGTTCATTCTGCTCCAGCAGACAATGTCCTTCTGCTCGACCACCGGCCGGCCTCTGGACTTCATGTATTTCAGCCACAGAAGCAACTGCAGCTCAGTTTGATGTGAGTCCACATGCAAACAAACATGGAGTCCCTCATTTTTAACACCAAAGACACTAAACTAAGATTCTCCTTCCTCCTGCTGAGGAGTTCAAGCTTTACTTTCACACTTGTTGGTGATTAATGAAGCCTGTTAATGAAGTAAAAACGACATTATCGTGTTTTTTAAAACTTCTCCAGTGATAAAGTGAAAACCAGAGCTGCTCCTAGTGGCAGCTCTGGTTTTCCTGCCTCACCTATGATGATGGTGCACGCGCTCAGCAGCCCGATCTCCTTCTTCAGAGTCACTCTGTCGGGGATTGTCTCCTTCTCCTCCTTCTCCTTCTTCTTCCTCTTCTTCTTGTCGTCCGTCACGGCGCCGTGCGGCCGAGAGCAGATGCTGCTGCTGCCGTTCTGTCCATCCATGTCCGCCTGCCCGGGTCCGGTCCGGTCCGTCCAGATCCTCTGGTGTCCTCCCAGTCCCAGTACTCCCAGTGCTCCTGTCCTCTCCTCACTCCGTATTCATGCAGACTGAATGGGCTGCGCTTGCGCAACAACCTGCCGCTGTCCAGGGTAGAATGTTAAATACCCAGGACTCGGCGTGATGCGTTCACGGGCACCGGGAGGAGGAACCGTCCTGATCATTCTTACCTCCTCCAGGTCCAGTGTTTATACTTCAGCTTAAAGGTCCAAGTGTCCTTCAGGTGACTCCGTGTTTTTTAAGGTCGTATGAGAAAACACATCAGTGGTGGAAAAAACTTAATTTATTAGTTAACTAAAATTATTAATAGGCTACTACGATGTAAAATAGTATTATTACAAGCATTAACATTAACATAGTACATTTTACTAGAGTGAAAATATTTATTTATCAAATTCAAGCAAAGTTTATTTTTGGGATTGATGTGGGACTATAGGTTCAGGTGTTAATGGGTATAATTACTTATATACTGTATGTTTATTTGTGTAATGTATAAATACACAGGTACACTGTAGAGCTGGACTGATTACACTGACAGACGATTAATCAGCAACAGTTTAAATAACTGACGAAGAAAAAGTTCTTACAGGCATCAAGCTTCTCAGAAAATTTTATATTATTATTAACGAATTATCCTGACTCTGACCTCAGTCACTGCAGGTGTCTCTCAAAAAGCTCTTTGAAACTGTGAGGACTGGACAGAGTGACCTCACAATGATGGTTTCTAACCACAGTGAGACATGTCTACACACGTGTTCGTGTCCTGACAGAAGCTGATCTGCAATAAAGCTGCTGTGATTTCTCCGGCTAGAACTGAACAACATGGACAGTAAAAAAAAATGCCCTGAGTTAATCCGTCTAATTAGTTTGAGCAGCAACTGCACTTGTGTGTGTCTGTCAATGTGTGTGTGTATTGTTGTGTGTGGCAGTAGAGCTGTCTGCCATAGAGCCTCCAAAATTATGAAACAATTAATTAAAACAATTAATCAATCAGTAAACAAATCAGTGTCTTAGTTTGTAATCTTGTCAAAACACAGCTGTTTTATTACATATATACAGAATTATACAGAATTGCAGTCTTTTAAATAAAGAGTCAGCGTCCATGACAGTCAAACAGCCTCTGCAAAGGGTTTTTGGTGCTGGCCCACCAACCAACGAAAACGCAACTCTCTCCTCGCGAGGTGACCAGGGACAGAGAGTCAGTAGCAAAAGGAAAAGGTGACGAGCGCTTCATGTTCCAGCAGCAGTGGGTTTGTTGAAGAAGCTGTGGATTTGCTGAGCGGCTGCCTGACCCACAATGGGCTCCAGCTCAGAGGGGGCAGCGTTGCAGAGCTGCCGGATGCTAGAGAAGTGCTGCAGCAGGGCCAGAGCTTTGACCCTGCCGACCCCGGGGACCTGCTGGACGAGAGACAGGACCACTGGGTCCAACAGCCGAGAGGAGCTTGTCCTCCTGAAGGGGTTCTCCCTGCTGTCCCCGTGAACCTGGAGACAATCAGAGCAGGTTGGAAAAAGAAAAATCAGTGTCAGCACCAGATTCAGCTGCTGTGAGGCGTTTAGGGACGACGGATTAAAGACACCACTCTTACACCAAAGATCTGTGTTCGACTCTTTTATACCAAAACAACTCAAAAGCTGAACGGGTCATTTTCTGCACTTTTTCAAGGGATACTGTTGATTTCAGTCTTTCTCAAAAAAAATGTAATTGATTAAATGTTGGTCTTTGAAATTGAAAGAAGATTAATTGGTAGCCTGGATCAAAGTTCTCAACCTGTCTGGTAGGACTGGCAGTGACCAGTTCGACCAATATAATGATTTATTTCTTTTTTTTATTTCAACAGAGAATTATCTTTTGTAATAATGAATGACGTAATTATGAAGCCTGAATAATTAGGAGAGTCTGAGGGGGATTTCCAACACACATCTGATTCAGCCTTTGCTTAAGATCAATTTAATATTCCTTGCAGAATTATATAGTTTTAATTTATATGCACTAAGAACTTTAAAATAAAACTGATGTGATCCCTCACCAGCTTCCCACTGGCCTACACTCTAACTTGTTTTTATGGGGGAGAGAAGAGAGAGAGACCAGGAACAGCTGTTTATACAGTTGTATTCAGGCACTATTAGGCCGGTTGTCATGATAATAATAATAATAGTGATACTTCTAATGAATTTCATAACACCATTGCACAATGGATTGTTTTCTATATTAAATTAGTCCTACATGGAGACAACAAAAGGTTACCTTTTGATGACTGCCTAGTAAAATAATCTCAAAAAATGATATAAATATATAAATGGTTTCTGTGAGGTGTTTCTGGGGCTGGAGGTTTTGTGGGTCTATAGTGTTGAATAATCTTCATTACTTACGATCTGAGTGATGAGCTGCGAGGCCTCACTCTGCCCACTGACCGGCAGCAGAGTCAGGCCGAGGTCGAACACCACAAACTTCTGCACAATAGACAAGTACTGCTCACTCAGTCTGGTGTTCTCCACCAACACCAGCTTCTGGAAACTGCTGCTGGCCTATAAAACAGGAGGGAGACAGTTCAGAACAGATGGTACAACGCAGAGAAGCTTTTAGAATAAACGCTTTGTCAGCCATTTTCTTCATTACACTCACATTTCTGTAGCGGACCAGTTTCCTCTTGTAGCTGTTTGCTGCTATGATGTCGCACTCAGACACATACAGGATGCAGATTTTGTTGGCAAGGTGGAAATCTGCCACACCAAGCTCATTCTCAAAGAGGATTTTCACACCTCCACCTGCGGCAGAAGAACGACCTGTTCATGACTGAAGATTCTCTACATTCAGACGGTAAGATTCCTCAAGACAGAGATGACAACATGTCATTTTTCAATCAGCTATTTCACTTATTTGTGGGTGAAACCATTATTTTCTCAAATTGATTCATAAACTGTTACGAACTAGTTTTTTGTTTTTATAAAAGTAAAAAATAAAGCCCTATCACCATTTCACAAATCAAAATGACATTTAAATTGCTTGTTTTGTCCTATCAATAGTCAAAAAACACAAAGATATTTAGATTAACATCACAAAAGACAAAAACCCAGCAAATATCCACATTAGAAAAGCAGAGAACTTTAGGCTTTTTTGTTTTTTTATAAATTTATAAATTATTGACTCAATCAACAAACTGAGTAATCAGCTCTGCAAATATTTTTATATTTAATATAATATTTTTATTCTGATACATTTCAATTTTAGGTAGTGTTGCAAAGAAAAGAAGATTATTATTATATATTTCAAATGTCAATGAGGAAAGACACTTCATAATATCCAAAGAATATGAATGTGAGCGTTTTTCTTTCAGGCAGAACTCAATTCATGTATTAAAAGCATAAAAAAAATATCTAAATATATATATACTGTATATTAGAAAATATTCCTAGTACCTAACCGGTAGTGATTGTAGAAATTGTACTTTTATTACATTATTGAGACATTTTTAGTTGATGGCATCTGAGCCGAATCAAAGATCGGACCTATTAAAAACAAACATGATTCAAAGTTTTATTCTACAATGTATGACTCTATGTCTCTTACAGCGAAACAACCTTAAATATAGATTTTTGTAAATGGCATTTCCTGAAAGTTCGCTGTTACCGGGCTAAAAAAAAAGAAAGAACAAACGCTAGCTAACGTTACGCCCTCGGAGGTTGACATTGAACTGTGACATAAAATAAAAGTAATTATAATTAATAATTACCCTTCAGGTTTTGAATGAAGGACGAGTTTCTCCATTTCTCGCTGACAATAACATGTCCGTAAGGAGGAACCGCGTTCAGTAGCGCAGGAGCTTTGGTCTCCATGCCGCCTTCACCCTCTTAACATTAGTGTATATGGTACATATTTATCAAACGCTCTCGGGATCGTGTGTATTGACCGTTAACTGAGTCCATGCACCCGCGTTCACAACATCAACTGTCGCTGATTATGACGTTTGTTTTGCCTCCAAAACGTTCACATCTCTTCCTCTTGTCTTCAGTTGATTCAGGTGAGGAACACGCGCCTCCATGTTGCCCCCGAGAGGACGGGAGGGGAACTGCATCCTCCACATTAACGCTAAAACCTCACAATACCTGTATTTATTTTGTAAACGTTTGTATATTAAGTGCCTTTACTTAGGTATTGAGACAATCTAGACAGTTTTATTTAATAAACACGACTATCTAGCTGTGTCCTAATTCTAACTGTTGTTGGAAGAAAGTTCTCACTTTTTTACATTATATTATTTTGAATAATCTTATAAATCGTTAAATTCATTCATTGATGAACAATGCCAGCAGGCTAGCTGCTAATGATAGCAAGCTAGCCCCCCACTTGTCATTTTGCAATTTTATAATGAAACCCTTAAATTCATTCATCAGTGACCAATGCCAGCAAGCTAGCTGCTAATACTAATGCTAATGAAAATGGGGGGCAGTTCTATGTACTGTACCTGCACACGTTCATTGCTGCCATTATCATCATTTATTGCAATTATAATATCATTGTTAGCATTATAATTGTTATCAATACTCATTATCGTTATTTACACAATTGTAATTATTTTTACTATTTGTCATTGTTATTATATACAATAACAAACAAAATGTCACTTTATATACACTGTCACTTGTCTATCGTGCTTCATGGTTAAATTGTCTTCTGTCACCTTCTGTTTGCCCGTTTGTCACCAATAAAGGTAAAAAAGTGCTAATGCTAGCTATCCCCCACTTGTTATTTTGCATTCTTATGAAATTGTTAAATTCATTGATTAATGAAGATGCCAGCAAGTTAGCTGCTAATAGTAGCGCTAATGAAAATGGGGGGGGCAGCTCTATGTACTGTATGTGCACATGTTCATTGGTGCCATTATCATCATTATCATTTATTGCAATTATATCATTGTTAGCATCATAATTGTTATGAATACTCATTATTGTAATTTTTACAATTATAATTTAGAATAATTTTCATTATATACAATCACAAACAAAATATCACTACCATCATTTATTTATTGTATATAATTGTTAGGATTATAATTGTAATCAATGTCATTATTGTTAGAAGCTAATCCTGATGTGCTAATGCTAGCGCATCATTTTTTATTTGCAATCTATTGGTAGCTGTCACTAATAAAAGGAGAATAAAAAAAAGTGTTTTGTTTGTCCATGATTATTTCACCAATAAAGAAAAAAAAAACGAAAAACAGCAGCTAGCTCGCGCCCCCCGACTTAGCCGACCTCCTCATATATATAAATAAATAAAACACATTAATGGTGAGGCAACTCAAAGACACTGGAAGAGGAACAGCTTCTGTGTCACATACAAAGCACAAAACTAAAACTTGGTGCTCAAAATTCCTACAAGTGTGTGACACTGAGGTTACGAGTAGAATTTAAATTGATGTGTGAAAACAGGATCTAAATACTTGTAATTTTCATACACTTGCAGATTTATGAAGGCATGGCACATGTATGGGCCTTGGCAGGATATAGCAGCATGAGGAAGGGGTGATGACATTATCCCAAAGGCAGACTCAGAAAATAAGGTTTATTGCCAGGTAGGTTTTCACTTAAGGTATTTGACTTGGTGTATTATCCAATTAACGTATTCATAGGAAATAATATAAAAAGTAAAATACTGCAACAGTCAAATATAAATATACATAGATACATTTTATTGGGCTTTGATTGAACACCTCCACGGGCTAACCCAGGTTGACACAGGTTATCAGCCCAGCGGGGCCAGGTACCGTTAGCATAGCAATTGTTCAATTATCAGCTAACACTAGCACTAGCTGGCTAGCTTGGTTAGCAAGGTGCACCTTCACCTGAACTGTGATATTAACAGGGATGCTAATTTTGGCTAGCAAAGAAATAGGCTTAAAAAACAAAATGTATTTACCAGAAAAACTGAACCGCTGACTCCTCCGAGTGTCTTTGAGAACAACTGAACGCTGAACAAGACATTTTCAGGCAAACAACATGTTGGAGCTAACTTTGATAAACTGAAAACACAATGACAAGTCAAATGTGCGACACATCGCTCTGACCTCATATCCGGATTAACAGGCAGGTCCCCCTGTGTGTCAACGACGCGGTAGCCACGCCCTAAAATCACTCTGCTTTCACGTCTATTATCTTTTAAATAGGACCATAATTTGAAAAATGAACATCAAGACAAAAATTCAAACTAGCGAGTCCGACCATAAACACGAAACGTTTACTGAGGTAACAAATCAAGTGACAGGTAGGGTCATTTTCCCATAGACTTCAGTACAATCGGACTTGTTTTTGCAACCAGTGGAGTCACCATGATGGTCATCCGATAGAATGCAGGTTTAAGGCATTGGCTTCATTTTCCAGACCCGGCATCAACGTACATTTTTATACAGTCTATGGCTGAAACCCAATACCAACATTTAAAAGTGTAATCCTCAGGCTCTCGCAATGAATCCTGGGATAGGTCGGTGGATCCTTTGTTACCTAGGAAAAGGACGCGTTTCTCCATGTATCAAGAATGTAAAACCTCAACTTCTGTTTTACATCACAACCTTATTTTTCCCCTTAAACGGTGAAGTCTGGTGATATTCTATATTTTGTGTATTGTCAACAATCACATGAAAAAATGTCTCCTGTTAAGTATTTTATCTGCAGCCTTATTCCTCTGAGCCATTGAGCTCAATTGTTTCCAAAAATTATTTTAAAAAAACAGTGGGGTGAACTGTTCCCTTCTTTACCATGAACACACACTCTAGTTTATTTTGACTCGGTCCCACTTACACCGCCCTGCTCCTGAACGCACTCACCCAAGCACCACGAGGATGAATCCGTTGTTGAAAATAGCTCCCAACAAGAGCAGATTTCTCCTGTTTGTTTTGTTAACAGTGAGCTCTTTTATAAAAGAAATTATGTTTATAAAAACTATATATTTTGAATAATTTTATTATAACATTTTATTTGTAAAAACTTATCTGATATACACTAATTTGCCAGTTTATTAGATTCCCCTAGCAAAGACTTATACTGACTAATGCAGCCATTTATATCAATGAGGCCAAGCTTAATCACAGAAACACCTGTCAGTAAAACACAATGCAGTTCAACAACTCAACAAACTGCAGCATAAAGACTAATGATCAAGTTGACCAGGGCTGCAACTAATGATGAATCAAATAAATAAATAAATAAATAAAGCAGCAGATTAATCAATTAATAGTTTTGTGTAAGAAATGTAAAAACCCATCTGTTTGAACAAATGTTTTGTCCCAATTGTACAATTATACATGGAAAAGAGAAAAGGCTTGAAAAATGACTATTAAGTAAAGTTTATCAACAAGTATAACTCTTCATATGAAAACACAGTTTATATTTTTACGACTGTATTTTAAACACTTTATTTTAAACTCTGTTGTAACACAATCGCAGTTTCCCTGAGCTGAGAATGTCTCATGTCTGACCAACAGTCCAAAACTACTTCCTATGACATGAAACAGACGAAAGCAGCAAAACATTTGAGAAGCTGGAACCTGAGAATGTTTAGCATTTCTCACCTTAATTCAATTGATCATTAAAACGACTGGCGATCGACTAATCGCTGCAGCTCTGAAGTTGAATCAACACCTCTCAAAAACAGCAGGGTTTACAGGCTCCGATCGACTTAGTTATTTGGGAGTTTATTTGGGCTACCTGAGTTTATCTGTCTGAGTTACCTGTGCAGCTGTGCACAGCACTAACTCAGAGGTCCTTGAAAGTTTGTGAGCAGAGCGCAGACCGTCCACAGCTGGTTGACTGAACTATGAAGCACAGAGGGAACAACGTCATCAAATATGTGGTACTCTTTGATGCGACTGATCGCCCTCTCCATGTGGATTTTCAAGTGGTCAAAGTCTGTTTGGGATACGTTGTCTTCATTTAAGAGTTTGTTTGCCCCCGAGAACGTCAGGCTGACGAGGTCTACACCGATCACATCGAGGTCTTTGATCTCTAAGCTTCTGTCTGTCATCACTACGTCACCCGGCTCCAGGAGGTTTAAAATGCCCGACTCCCTGACGGCGTCCTGATCCGAGACGGCGGCTGTGTAGAAGCTGCTGACGAAGCTGATGGAGCCAGATGGCGTGATGCCAATCAAAGACTTGAGTGTTGTGGAGCCTTTATGATGGGGCGAGTTCACTGTGGACGTTGGCAGCTGGACTTGGATCTCAGTCAAGTGTAGCACCACCCGAGTTTTGGCGAAGGTCGTTCTGAAGAATGGCGGCATCAGCTCGTTTACACTCTGTCTACTCAGCCATATCGGCAGCGGTCCCAGCATAAAGAACAGGTAGTGGCACCATGTTATCCAGGTCGTCTGCACAACTTCCTCTGACACGAGGAGCTGTGTAGACACATCAATAGGAAGAAACCCCCGCCTCACAAAGCAAAGGAACAGGAACAGCTGATCAAACAAACACAGGTGGGCTGTATGGAAGCCAGCGTTCACTGTGTCGTCGTCAGTGTTATTCAGCTGTAGCATGTGACTGCAACTCCCAAGAGTCTCTGGTGTCGGCTGCAGAGCTAAGTAGAACGCTTTGAGTGTGTTGTAGTCTTTAAACCCGGTGTAAAACATGATCATCTCCGGCTCACACTGGATGCGCTGCAGGAAGAACTGCTCACATTTCAGTACTTGACGCTTTAGCTCCTTTTCCGTGACCTGCAGCTGCTCCGTCACAGTCAGGAGCTTCTTTGAATAGTTGTGCTCATGAAGCAGCAGCTCAGCCTCATAACAACTGTATGTGAAAAAGAAAACACAGAGGCAAACAGCAGAGAAGAGAGTTAAGTCCTGATCATATAAACACTGAGTGTAAGAGCAGTTTAATGCAGTAAACGCAGATGCTGAACAACAAACAAGCGAGATCTCGCCACACAGATCTCTTCTGTTGGTTCTGATCTATTGCTCTGCTGAAGTCACCTTCCAACCACATAAACACAAGTTGAGAGGGACTTGTACGTGAAATCACGACTTAAATATTGTTTCTTTGCATAATAATACAATTACTGTTATTTAGCTGTTTTTGGAGGGAGAACAGAATATTATTCGACTGATATGTCCCCTATATGAGATATATATTTGTACTGGGTTGATTTTTTAATTCCCAGTTAAAAACAGGGTCATTTCCGGGAACATCTGGTCACCCTAAATTAACCTTGTCGAGAAGTCTCTGCCTCAAGTAAACAAATAGACCGGAAATGCACGAGCAGCAGTGTTAGGAACCACAAGTACGTCACAAAACGTCCCGCATGTACGTATAATCTGTCCGTGATAAACTATGATTGTGAAGGGCGAATCTCCACAGTGCTGCAGTTACTTACCGTGTTTCCATTTGTAACTTTGGTGCCTTTGACTTCATCTTCTGCTGCTGAGGCTCCCTGAGGAGAAACAACACCTCATATAGTTTCATTGTGGTTTTTTATGTGAACACACACACGCGCGGAGAGAGAGAGATGTGAATGTGAATGAACCCACCTGTGGATTACCTGACGCTCCTCCTGGTCAGGGGTCTGCAGCCTGTAAACTCACCGGGCACGCTGCTTTTTCCGTCGGAGAAGTGACTTCAGTCCTGTGTTAAATGTCTGCCGTCGTTGACCTGTTAAAGACACTTCAACTGTCACCTCTGAGCTTCTGCTCTGCTTCACATGAAACCTTCAGAGCAGAGGATTACCTGAGCACACGGATACGGATCCTCCAACTCCTCCAAACTCGGTGTCGTCGATCCAGACCCGGCGGGTGGGGGGTCGGGGTCAGTCGGGAACCGATGGACGGATAGATCTCGATCACATTCCCTCATCATCTGACAAGAATCACAGTCCGGTGAACAAACACAAGCCGTGTCCACACTGACATGCTCTGATGCTCCGCTCCTCTGCGGTTTACTGGCGGTGAAAGGTGAACAGCGCCGCCTACAGCACCGGAGTCTACGGGCACTGAGCTACAGCAGCTTCCAGCACCAAGGCAACACAACCTTATTCACAAAAGACAGAGATGCAGAAAAAAAAACACACACACACACAAGGCAATATGTAAGGACAATATAAAAGACACCACGACATATTATTTTAAGAGAGTAAAGAATAGAATAAGGCAGGGAAATCAAGTCTATGATGGATGAAACAAGCTCTGGAATAATTCTTTAATGTGACAGGCAACATGGTTGAGTGGGAAAAATCCAAAAGATGTTACCTTGATTTTGAGGTACAAATAATATAATAACTACTTTCAAGAGTTGAGGGTGATATTTTTGACTGTACTGTGGCTATAAACACAAAATCACAACAAATCAAAACATTCAAGATTCACAGAGCAGAATCTAGTTTAACAGAAAACAGTTTTACTGTGAAAATAAGAACCTGAAACGTCTCAGCAAATCGTCAGGTTTCATCATCAATAGTTGTGACAGGGAGTGAAAAGGAAAATTACAAGTGTAAGAGCAAACAGTCAGATGTAGATACACAACTGATAATGAAGAGTTGAGCAGAGTCTCTTCAGATAAACAAACTGTCTTTAGATTTATACTGAACAGAAACAAGTAATAATAATACACACAAACTGGGGGTTTCAACATCCACTCCACACTTCTGCAACCACAAATACATCAAATCAGAGCAACAGCCTCCAACATAAGGCACTGTTAATTTCACTTTACTACACTTACAAAACAACAATCCAAATCAAATATTACGTTTTTCCAGCTGCATCTTAAAAATAAGTGACTTCCCTCAAATCTCTACTAAAAACTCATTTTTATAAACTTGCAATTCTGCATTAGTTAAATTCTACTTTGTATTACACCAATAACTTCTGCAGCATTATTGTTTGTTTCTTGTAAAGCACTTTGTGGCATCGTCTGAAAAAGAACTGTTCATATAGAGGTTGTTATTATTTCCATTTCAATAATACATTTTGAAAATAAAGTAAAATATAAAGTCTTGTGGTTGCACTTTTTGAAATCGTTAGCGGAGAGTGGACAGGAAGTTGGTTTTAGTCACCGTGATCTGTCAAAGCTTGTTAGTGGCTGACGGAGGAAGATGAAACTTCATTATTTGAACATCCCCACATTTACTGACCTAAACGTAACCGTTCTTCACCTAAAACATTCTGCTCTCAAACATCTATTATTATTATTATTACTAATTATTCCAAACACAAACTTTTCTGAGAGTCTTTTTAAAGCTCAACTGTTTTCAGTTTCACAAAAGATAAACGTTGGTTAAAGTTCAACAGGTTCAATTAGGGGGTGTTTACAGCTGCTGTGTCACCAACTAAGCTCAATGTCTCTAGACTCAGAGACTTTTATTCAAACAGACGGGGTATAAACCTGGTTCATGACTGGACCGTGTATGGATGCCGACCAGGGGCTTCGGGCTACACCTCTTCCTACTGTCAGTCTACTGAGCCGCTCTGGTTTCCCAGCTGCTCTGGAACTGCAGGGAAGAGGAGGAGCACTTCCAATACACTGAGCCTCGCCTCCATTACAGCAAATAAACTACTTTCTTTCCATGTATCTTTATTACTAAAGGAGGCAGAGGAATAACCAAACATAAAACTCACAGAGCAGAGAGGGAGGGAGAGAGAGAAGTAATGCTAGCTGCTCAAGCTGATCTGAGCAGCATGTAAACAACAGAGATGACAGCAACCGAAAATGCCAACAAAAACACTAAGCGGCTTTTAATATGAAACGTTTACAGGTAGGGTTGAGTTTGTATTAACACGTAACGTAGTAACTTTAACACAACAAACTGAAAACGAGGCGAATTTGTACTAAAATATAGCTCTGACCAATTATAAACAAAGGGAGTTAGACATGAACGCCTGCCTCTAATACAAGTCTGTCACGTTCTGGAGTTGAGGTAAATAAAGTTGAACTACTGTGGATCCCAGGCAGAGGTTGTGCTCTGTGTGAGAGACTAAATAAGAAATATATTCTCTCTCTTCCAACTGCCTCTCTGATCATTTTACAGTAAATAAAGCTGAAATCACAGCTCTGTCTGTTATTTATGTGTTTGGTGATTTTGTCAGACGACGTCAGTTATAAAATCAGGATTTTTAATATAAGAACTAAGGAAAAGTCTTTAGGGACATCGGAAATACTTCTTTACTGTCTCAGCTGTTGTGGTTGACTGACAGCAGCTGGCAGGCCGAGAACTCAGACGCACATCATCCAAACCCATAATAAAGCACAAACTGGAGCTCGTCACAGGAAGTGGTACGACGACATGAAGGCAGCTCACAAGACGTAGAGATGAATAAACCTCTGGACAAAGTTCTCCTGGCAGATTAGAAACTGTCTCATTGTACTTAATTCTGACACTCACTGTGGTGGACAAAATAATAGGAACACGTGTCCTTATGATGGAATACAAGTCAACAACACCACAAACGGCAGCCTCCAAAAATGACCATCAAGTTGAATCCACACCTTCTAAAACAGTTTAGTAACATTATAACCTATTAGACTACATTAGTTTTAGCTAGAAGTTCCTAATGAACTAAATGTATATACACATCTCTACTGTCTTACATTACAGTCACCAGGTTTAAAAGCCTGACAGAAATGTCTTGATTCAACTCTGTGATTCTTCTCGAAGCTCTAGTTTCGTGTTATATTCTACTGATGAAGTTTCTACTTTTTCATCCACCACTTCTGAAATAAAAGAAAAATGAAGGAATGGGAAAAATTCAAGGTCTTTTTTCTGTTTTCTGGAGGAGAGCGAATTCTGACAAAAGTTCTGGATGAACTCTTCCACAACATGGAACAGTGACAGTCACATTGCATTTCACTTTATACTTGAGACAAACTTATGAATCGGACTTGTTGCAGTCAGACACTTTTGACCAGAATATTTAACTCTTAACTTTCTATTCATAGTTCCCTATCAGTTCCAGTATTAAGGATGTCAATGGTAGCAGCACCACAACACAAATATTCTTGTGACTCTAACATAATAAGAGATTTCAGGAGTGCTGGGAAAAGACATGAAAGATGGTGTTTGTTTATTTTTTTGTTGCTTAGTGTTCGTCAGTGTTAATCTTCAGTCACTGTCACTGCCGCTCTCTGAGTTCACGTACCAGTTCTCCTCTCCTGTGTTCGCCACAAACCACTGACCTGCACATCAGAACACAAACAGATCAGACATCAGTTCAGTGTAGCCAGACAAAAGGTGTAAAAGACGCTTTATTCTCAACAGACAGGTTTTCAGAGACTTTGATTCTTACCACATGGAGCTGTGTCCTCATCCTCTTCAAAGTGCTCCATGTCGTAGCTCACGAAAATATTCTGTAAAAAGAAATAGTAAAATTCATCATCACATTTTCCCTTTTCTTTATACAGTTTATTCTGCTGTGGACTAAACAAAATGAACTCCAGCACCTTGTTCCTGGTGAGTTTTTCCCAGGATCCCTGCTGTTGTTTGACCAGTTTGAGGACTGGCTCATTGGACTTCATCTCCCAGCAGCAGCGGTCCGCAGCGACGTTAACCTGAAGCTCCAGGTCGGCTCTGTAGGACCGGCCGTTCACTCTGCCACTGAACACAATCAACAGAGAGAGAGACAGAGAGAGAGAGAGAGTTAATCTGATCGAACCAGTTTTCTGGTTTCTCTCTGGCACGTTGAGCCATTTCTTCCACTGTTGTGAGATCTCTCCCAGGCCTCAGGTACCATCCTCAGGTACACCTCAGTCTGTCCTCACCTCTCCTCTGGGTGACCTCCCTCAGGTCCTCAGGCAGTCAGGAAGCCGAGTCCATCGGAGGGCGACAAGTCTGAGGTCAACGTATGAACTAATGTGCCGTGTGGTTTTTAATTTGTCTGTAATCACATGTTCCCTAAATCCTCCTCAGTGTCAGTGTGTGAACTGCAGATGAAGTTAAGATGTGAAACCGACAACTAACAACTTTGAATTTAAATTAATCTGTTGTTCATTTTTCATGAAATATGATGAATGAATGAATGAATGACTGTGGAAAAATAACCATTAACACTTGTGAAGGCAAATCCAAAGTGAGGACAGGTGTGCTATCCCGTTAACCTTCAGACAAAGCATACGTCACAGAATGTCAATATAAACATAAGTAATGAACCTCCACTGGGTTCTTTTGTTAATGCCTCAGATTTCTTCTGAGCAGTTTATATTATGTTAAATTTATTAACAACACACAGATTTATAGAATATATTTAGCCGACCCGTACAGGTGCCCCGACCAACCCTGTCCTGAGAGCAGGACACATTCCCTCACTGGCTTCCCACTTATGAACATGGTAAAGTGAGACTGTTCAGGCTGACAGCTGAGCTGGAGGTGCTACTGAAGCTCTGGTGCCCCTGTATCACCAGCGTGCCGCTACACTTTATCGCTTGTAGTTTATAGGAAACAAATGTTCTGGAGTTGCATCAGAAACGACACAGTGCTGGCTCTGAATGCTGTGGTGTGTGCTTGTTAGTGCTTGTCAAGTGTTAGCTAGTAGAGGTTGTAAATAAAAAGAACAATGTAGGTAAAACATCCAGCTGTTGTGTAATAACCATGTGACGCTAAATACTGATTTTAAAACATTTTATTACAAGCTAAAGTCTGTAGATACTTAATGATTCCATGGAACTGTAACAACAGCATCTCAAAACCAACCAGTGATAAGTTTCTCTGAATGAACTCAGATTCAGATTCATTTGATTCGATCTTGAGCTGTGACACTGTGAAGCTCCGTTGTTCAGCAATAACAGACTGCAGAAGAACTAAGACCCAACAGAGGAAAGTAACAGACTCAGTTGATGAGGTTTAATTACGTGTCCCTTCGATACGACACCACCCTGACAAACAGAAACTACTGATTTTTCTTAGTTTTAACTTGTGTGTGTGTGTGTGTGTGTGTGTGTGTTTAATTCACACAAAGGCTAGCCATGCTAAACATGTACCCGCTCCCACCGGTGTAAAGTGCTCTGGATGAGAAGCTCCACTGACTGTTGGATGTGGTCTGAAGTAAGTGAGTGATGGCAGGCGGTCTGCTCCTCACAGACCTGTAGACGACTCTGTCTGGGTAGAAGTCACAGCGCTGACTCTCGGGGTTCCTCAGCTTCATGGTGACGATCACGGAGTCGGACGTCTGGTGCCAGCGCACCTGAGGATGGAAACTGAGACAAACACATATAACGTTAGTCTGAATCAAGGTTTTACAAGAGAAGAAAACCTGCAGCTTTGCTCCGATGTAGAAACGGATCATTTAGAAACAGATGTTGGGAAACAGTGGGAAAGAATTTCCTTTTAATATCCAGATCAGTTGTCGTGCACCTTTTTGTGGAGTCATCACTGTCTGTTCCGTTAGTGACAGTGTTGACCTGGTGGCTGCTGCGTTCATCGTCACCTGCAGGCAAACCTGTACGCACGCACGCACGAACACGCATGCACGCACACACACACAGGAGTGAATGTTATTAAGTCCTCTGACTGTCTCATAGTAACATAAAAAGTGTGATGAAATGGTCATAGACATGAAGGCGTGATCTCCTGTTCTCACTGAAGTTCAGACTGTATCAGGATGAAACCTGTGGAAGTTCATTTAATTCTTATTCTTACCGTTATGACAGGAGTGGAGACGAGCAGCGAGGTCGGCTCTGGGGCAAAGTTCTCCTCCATCTCTGCTCCTGTGTTTCAAGTTTAAGAAGTCAGACAAACTGAGCAGTTAATGAGCAGTTGCAATGAACAGTGAGTTGGTAGGGAATAATATGAAGACAGAACTTCTTTTTGTCTGTTTGTTTTCAGGAACTCTTTGAAGTCGTAGTAGTAGTAAAGACACCGACCTCGCTGTGTGTTCAGCTGACTTCAGACCAGAACTGTGGTTGTTTCTCTGTTCATCTGCAGCCTGGATATCTGACCGGATATCACACACAGGGCCCAGGTGGAGTTCAGGTTCTGGTGGTGATGGGACCAGGAAGTGGTTCACTGAAGACTCTGGACTCAGTGGGTCACATGGCTCGAGTGGAAGAGGGTCAGCGAGCTTCCTGACCTCGGCCGCTCTGAAGACTTCAGCCAGAACTTCCTCCTCAGCTTTGATCCTGTTCTCCAGAGACGCAGAGTCATCCCCCAACCTACAGACGTCAACAACAACGGGCTTCACTTGGTGAAGGTGGCTGGTATATAATCCTGACATTAAGCTCCACTTAACACATCACTTGGACACCTGAGTCAGTTCAGTGTTTCCTTACCCAGATATGTCGCCCGCCTCCTTCCCGTCGCTGGCCCCGCCTTCCTGGCTCAGCGCCCTCAGCAGGTCCACATGCTCCGGGTTTCTAACTCCCATCCCAGTACTCAGGATCTCAGACTGGACGTTGTATTCGTTGATGACAGTTTTCATACCCGGGACCTGAGTCACCCGGACCTCAAACACAGGGAGTAATCAGAGTCCACAGTAATTAACATACAGGCTGAAATCTATTTCATTATGAAGCTGCTTTTGGATTGGAGAGATATTACCACCACAGACAGCGGACAATCTACTGAGGAAAACTCACCATGGGATCAACAAAGACAGTGTTTCCCAGACTGTGAACGGCTCTGGCTCGGTGCTGCAGACCTCGGATCTTCTGGCTGATGGCTCTGGTGACCTGCGGGACAAAAAGTGTCCAACTACATGAAGAACACACAACAGGTGTCTTTATAGAGGACTCATCTTTCAGCATGACGATACATGTGTAACTTTGGACAAACAACCCGAAAACAATATGGCTCTGACTCTGACTGTCGCCGGTGCAGAGGCATAAAAATGCTATAAGTTGCCCTCTCTATCTGCTTTAGTTCTGTCTCTATGTGACAGACCTGTGATTGTCCAGGGTGTGGAAGCAGCTCCAACCCCTGACATGACCCTCAAGGATGAGCAAGTATAGTATAATGACTGGATGGAAGTAAATTAATAGAGGCAATGAGATCCACAAATGGTGCTCATGTGTTTGTCTGTGTAGATGCGAGGAGGTGGACAGGAACCTTTGGGTGCCAGTCGATCTCGGCGTCCGCTGGTTTGACCCTGCAGACGATGATCTCCACGGCCTGACCGGGCAGAGAGTGGAACCGCTCCGGCAGCTGAAGGATTTGATGGGATTTCACCTCCTCCTCTTTTCCCACGTCGACAAACCGAACGAGCACCCTGAAAAACAGGCAGTCGCCTCTGACGGGCACAGAGAGGATCTTCACCCTGCAGAGGAGCACAGTTACATTACAGCCATTTCCCTGTGGAGCTTTAATACAGACAGGACTACACCGATACCAACAGTGACACAAGCTACAGTTTACAAATCAGTAAAATGAAAAGGAACCAACCTGAACTGTTTTAATGAGGTAAAGAGTCAGACCTGTGGAAGAGCTCTTCCTCCTGCACGGCGTATAATCCTCCCTCCAGCATCTCCGTGGCTCCCGGTTTCTTATCGGCGTAGTAAGACGCCATCTCAGACGCCAAGACGTCAAAACCACTGTCCTGTTTCCTGACGATACGACCGTAGAAGACCGACGCCGTCTTGATGAAGAGAGGTACGACCTGAGACGTGACAGAGTCACTACACTGCACTCATGGGTTTGATGCAGCAACAGAAACTATAGTCGCTTTGTGTCGCTTTAATCTGCATGCTTCAAAAAATGACTTTTAAACTTAAAAACACGAGCAGAGCAGAAATCAAGAAAATGTTTGTGCCATTTGAAAAGTGAATGAATTATTTTTCCTCTATTAATTTGACAATGTGAGTTAATAAAGACGGTTTGAGAGGCAGAAATCTCTGATTTACAATCAACAGCTGCTGCAACAACAAAACAAAATGATTGGAACGTCCTCACCTCTATGACTCCAGACGCAGGGAGCTCAGACTGATCCAGCTGGGAAATGAACCTGTGACGGTCGGGACACGCGCTGCTGTCTCTGCAGAGGAGAACACGCTGAGTCACATTTTGTTTTATCACACTGTAATTTTCTTATGAATGAAACAGCAGCTTTAAAAGGTGTAAATTATTTTTTGTTTTCTCTTCTGAATAATTTAAAAAGTTTCTGGTATTTGATTTTTCTGTTAAAGCTCCATGTGGCGTTTCTGTTCAAACATCAACAGAAATGGTAAAAGCAGTTCATCGTTATTAGCAGACCTGCAGACTCCGAAGCTCTTCAGGTAGCTGCACAGAGGCCTGTTGGTCTTCTGGTCTTCCCGGGCCACGTGGACGCCCTGGCCGAAGGACTGTAGCTCGGGGGGCAGCGTGGCGTCGGTGCGTCCCAGGTAACGCAGAACCCCGACGACATGACGGGCGTTCCTCTCAGAGATCAGCAGCACCGACTGGGCGTCATGACGGGAGCTGTTTGTTTGATCCTGGGAGTAAAACTTAGAGGAGAAATCACAGAAAGAGTTCATCCCGGGCGTCTGTGAAGCTGCACATGTGGATACTGAGACTGTGTTCATCATTTAAAGATTTGATCCTGAGAACAACATCGTGTTTTTACCCGCTCTGAGAGGTTTCTGAAGCGTTCCGCCATGCAGAAGAGTCGGCTGCCAAACACTTTGGGAGAAGTGGGGAAGCTGTAGTGGACGACACAAGTTGCGTCTCTGATCCCAAAACACTTCAGACACTCGTTGGTGGTCACTACAGGTCAAAGGTCAAACATTCAGAAACACAGAGGGGCAAAGCAGCGCTGCTGATGTTCAGAGAGGAAATTCAGTGAACGGCTCCAAATACTTTCACAGTTTCCAGAAATCTATTCACTCTACCCAGAATAACATGAGTGCCAGGGCCGATGTCTTTCCTCCACTGCTGGGTGACAAAGTCGAGCTGGTGCGTCGACTCCTCGTGGGCCCTGAGGCAGAACGCTGATTTGTTGCTGACGGCCTGAAGGTTAGAAAAGACACCGGTAAACCACAGGAAAAACCCTCTGGATGCTCTTTCCACTGTCAGACGTCACCATTGCACTCTATGTGTGATTATGTGTAAGGATGTAGAGTGGTGATGATGGCTGCTCGTCTCTTGTTGCTGCATCACATTCTGATATTTTGAGGCTGAGCTAAGGGGTCGATCCGTCTCTCTGCTCCACATCACAACAAATAAGACGTTTCTTAATTGGTTAATAGACAAACACACAACTTCCCATTATTGCAGACGCAGTGTGCTGAACCTTAACACAGCTAAAAAGATTTATAGCGCTGGGATGTATAACTGAAGTTGTTGTGTCACCTTGAACACATCCTCGACTTCCTGCACAGAGTTGGCGATGATCAGAGTTTTCTGGCCGACGACTGGGTTGAAATCCAACGTGCCGAGCAGCTCTGATATCTTACTGCTCTCTAGAGTCATGAGGATGATCTGAGGGAGAGAAACATTCAGGAACATCACTGGCAGCTTATATCACATATTTCTTTGACTTATAATGTAGACATTAACTTTCTATAACGGAAATGGAAATTGGATGATGCTACATGCTACAGATAAAATGCTAATCTTGATTATTTTTATCTTTATATTTTGCTATTTTAGAATCTAAAGAGCAAAGTTTACGTTGCAACAGTACTAAGTTTGAGCTGTCTGACTGACCTGATGAACGTTGCCGTAGAGAGCAGCTTCCTCGGGGACGGTCATGACAATGCAGGGGTACGGCATGTGAGTGGTTAACAAACCCTCCATGTGACTGGTCCATCGCTTCGCCACGGCAACGAGCTGCTGAGGACAGGAGGCCTTCTCCTCGCTGGAGGTCACCTTCTGGAAATGCTGCAAGATGGTCGCCATCTAACACGAGAGTATTCATGTTCATTAGGCAGATTATAAAACACATAATATCTCATTAAAGTGAAAGTTTAAAAGATGAAGTGAAGGCAGAGGAGAACAGAGCAGTTTTAGCTTCTTTTTAAAGCCAGTTACAGTTCGTTTTAACTCCAGGCTCCACTAACTGACCAGCTCCTGCAGATCTTAGAGACCTACTGGGCTCATACACATCCAACATTTCTGAAATGTATTTAGGGCCCAGACCTTTTAGTTACTTAAAGACAATAAGTAAAACTTTAAATTCAACTGACTGGAAGTCAGTGCAAAGACCTGAGAACTGGAGTTACACGCTCTCTTTTCTTAGTTTTAGTACGAACACGAGCAGCAGCATCTGAACAATGAATGAATGAAATGAAATGAAATGATCTGCAGGTCGCCAGCTAACATGAATTCCAAGCTAGGAAATTAAAAGAGAGAAGATGTCTATTAGCCTTCAGAACTACCAACAGAGTGTTGGAGTCCTCGCCTCTCTGACCTCACCACATCATTGACTTCCTGTCAGCAGCTCAGTATCTGATGAGTCTATATGTCCACTGACTGTTCACCTGGTCTGGAGCAAGAGTGAAGAGCTGGTCGGCGCCGTCCAGCACCAGATGATACAGACGCAGGAACATGAAGCAGTGAGAGGACAGCAGACGGACCAGACTGAAGGGGGTGGTCACCAACAGCAGGCCTGGTTAAAAAACAAAAAAGGAGAGTTTCCATGACAACCTCACAAATGTGGAGTCGTTAGCCAACCACTAAGCTTTGCTCACAGTTCTTTGGGATCCTGACGGTCTTGGCCTCGTCAGTCCCGGCACCCAGCAGCACGATGACCGGGTGGAGGGTGTGGGCGAGCTTGCTCTCCTCCAGCAGGTCATACACCGACTGGACCTTCTCCCAGCCTGGACACAGCAGCACCGCTATCGGCTGGACCGCAATCACATCAACACAGGAGGAACAGATCCAAACATTACAACAGCTTCCTCTGAAAACAATAATTACTAAATAATGGAGAATGTTATTGTTGTAATGGCTCAGGGACGAAATCAGCCATAAACACGTCCCTGACTGGTGTAGATTACTCACCCCTGAGCTGGAGGTGAGGGAGCTGAAGATGGAGTTGAGCAGGATGTGGGTGAGGAGCGGGGCGAGGTAGCTGAGCGGCTGGTCGGCATTGTGGGAGACGATGATGGTGTTGAATCCTCGGGCCACAGCTGGCCAGCTGTAACAGTCGGCTGGAGACAGAGCGCTGTACTGCTTCTTCCGCAGCACCTGGAGACACATCGCCGCTGCGTGAAACTCGGGGAGGTTTTACATCTGGCTTAGTTTCAGTGTGAATAAACATCCTTCCCTGATAAGACACTGTCCACAACAAGATAACACCCCCCATCTATTTCTGCTTCCTTCCAGCAGCTGCTGTGTCAGTGACAGATGTGGCTGATCAGGGGAAGGTCCATGATGGACTCAGACACCATCTGGCCCCTGAACTCCTTCATCTGCAGTTTAGAGGGAAATCCTCTGAACTGTGATGGCAGCTGTGGTTGGTACTGACGGCCTCAACCACCGTAGCATCAAACAGCCGCTGGTAGTGTCTATGTTGTTTTTGCCAAATGGTCTGAATGTCCAACTCTTGTTAAATTCCAAAACTGTAAATGTTTCAATGGTAAAAACCATTTTCAGAGCAAGTTATTTCCAATTCAATCAATTCAGTTCAGTGATGTGACTCCTCGTTTCAGGAGTTCTCAAAGTTTCCTACCATCACTTTTTCTCTTGTTTTGGTTTTTAGCTCATTTTCGTGTCTGAACAGCCTCAAATGAAACTCAGAGCGTGTTCTTGTTTACCCAGCGGAGAGCATCAGTGACGGGGGCATCATCCAGACTGGTGCAGGGCTCAATTGGGACGGCAGAGTGCACCAGGATGCCACTCCCCCTGGGATCACTGGGAACAACCTGAGGACAGTCAGGAGACATCAGGCAGTAAATACAGTGTCAACATCATGAAGACCAGCGTGCACCTGCTGCGGTTCCTTCTGGGATCACATGACACTGAGGTCTGCTAATGAACCAATACATCAACTACAGTTTAGGTGAATTTTCAAAATTGGGCCACTTGACCTGAAGTAAACACCACCTGCACAAACATCATACAAGACTTCAGGGAAAAAGCTGAGGTGCTAAAACACACAGGCCATCGTAAGCCAACATGACGGATAGAGAAAGGTCAGTTTTATGGATTCTGTCAATCCAGCAGTTTGTGTGTCACCACAACCAACAGGAACCAACAACCTTCAGGCCACAGATCTGAGCAGCGTCCCGTGTGTGTCTGTGAAGTTCAGGGTGAAATTAGAAAACCTACCACATCGTCCACAGCGTCTGGATCGGGGTTCAGAGGCTCCGGGTTCAACCACTCCAGAAGCCTGTGGCCAGACACAACCGTGAGAAGTGAAAGACTTTTAAAACTGAGAAAGAAAAACATGAAGTTTCATGTGTTTTTACCCCTAAGACACTTTTTTTTTTAACTTTACTTTTATGTATTTGTTTAATTTAAAAGCAATCACTACTTGATTGACAGGATTTTGTTTGGTTTAACTATTATAATATACTGCATATATAACTTTCAGGCAGTTCGTGTACACTACAGGAAACCAACACTCCTGTTGAGATGTACCACTGATGTCTGAGGGGAAACACTCAGTATGTTGGTGTGTGAATCCTTCCTCACCGTGAACAGGCCCGGTCCTCCTCACTCCTCCACGTCCTCTCTGCCTCCGCTGGTTCTGACTCGACTGACGTACCGGAGCTGCTCAGAGACAAAGACACGGCACCAGGTTTTACTGTACATTGTGTCTTCATCTGCCAGACATCCAAGCCGCAGCTCCACTTCTTCTACAGCTCAATAGACAAATCAGTTTGAGCAGGTAAAGAGTGCAGTTACTGAGCGAGACTGATCCGTTCACTCAACATGAGAAGAAACTAAGACTGTCGGCTCAATAAACTGATCGATCCGTCACATGCAGCTTCCTCACCTCATACGGAGAACCTCCTCCACTTGTGTCAGAAGCTCAGTCTTGTTTAAAGGGGTTAAACTGTGCAACAAAACATACATGGGAAATATTTTACATGCAATTACACTGATGCACCAAAACAGTTGTGCTTGGCAGTGTAGGTCTGCAAACTGAGCTGACCTATTTTAAATCACAGTACAACAACGCGATAAGTGACGACGAAGAGTCTTAACAGAATGTTTGATGTAATGTTGGCAGCGTACACTTCCTGTCCTGTGCAGGTGCTGGAGGCTGCGGTCGTCTCTCGACAGTCCTGCGGCTCTTCATGTTGACTGACCTGGAGGAAAAAACGAACAAAGATTCCCAGATTGTTCTGTAGTTCCTTGCTATAGAGCTGTCATTTGTTCATTTCTTTTTGTCTTCAGTGGATAAGTCAGTATAGAACCAGACAGAAACAAGGGGAGAGAGAACGAGGGGTATGACATGCAACAAAGGCCTCCAGCAGAGAGCGAGGTGAGATACAGTATGAACCCAACTACATTTGTTTCCTCTTCAGTAGAGAAATCCTACGGGCAGAAAAAGCAGGCGTTCAGGAGAAGAGAACAATAATTCACTCACACTATGAGCCGCCTGCTGGAAGCTGCTGCCAGGATTCAGAAACTTTAGGAACCTGTAGGAGAGGAGGAGTTCTCTCAGCAACAACCAGTTACATAAGATGGTGTATAATGTGCTCAGGTGAGAGGTGATGTATGTGACTGAAATCAGCTCTCACTTGAACAGACTGAGGTTTTTGGTCAGAGCTGCAGCCAGAGACGAGTCTGTGTCGTCTGAGGAGTCACTGAAACAACACGGGAGCAGGTCACTTACATTCACACACACTGTGGCAGAACTCATCCTCACCTGTGTCTCCGACCGAACCAAACATGAGCTCACCTCTCTGCAGCAGCAGGGTCAGAGCTCTTCTTTGATTGGCTGCCTGGAGTCAGTTCTCCTGTGACATCTGACCTGCCGCCTCCCTCACCCGTCTCCAGCTCATGATGTTGGCTCTGAAACAGCAGAGAGGTCAGAGGTCAGGATGGGTGGATATTCACTGCAAGTACAGACAGACAGTAACACGGTGAGCGGAGCTGCTGAACCTGAGGTGGAGAGGGTGCCATCAGCCAATCACCTGCTCCGGCTGCAACCACGCCTTGTGACATCACTGAGGGTTAAACCAGGTTAGAGTGAGTGTTGATGCCACTATGAAACAGATTCACAAACATATTTCACTTAAACGTAAAGACGGTGGACAGGCAGTCACATCAGGATGAGTACCAGGAGCCGGTTGGGTTTGTGCTGCTGGCGTGTTTGAGATCGTGGACACAGTCTGGGTTAAGATGTTTGAGGACAGCATGACGGGACATCGGTCCACCTCGTCCATCCCACTGTTTTCAGCCGACTCTCTGCTGTAATATGCAAACTTCTTGGCCACCAGGTCGTCGTTCACACAGATCTGAAAATTAAAAAAAAACTATGAAATGCAAGTGATTTGTTTCTATGAGCAAAAAAAAAAAGAAAAAAGAAAAGATTTATGATAAACTGCTCAAGAAACTGTAAGTAAAGACAAACACAATGCATAATAACAATCTTATGTATGATCTTACCTGCATTGCTCTGTTTTAAAACTAACTAACTAACTAAAGCTCTCTTTCTGAATTAATATGACTTTGAAGGGGTCAAAGTTCACCTTGACGTTCCCGATGGTGAGGTAGAGCTCGATGGAGGTGGAGTCTGACTCAGACTCGAGCAGCACAGCCTCCGTCCAAGTCGACGCTTTGATTTCAAAAGAAAAGAAACTTTCCTCAAGACTGAATAAACATTTCAACATCAGTCACAGTGCACAACAGTTTAGATCAAATGTTCTTTTTAACACGTTAAATCTCACCTTGTAGCAGGTTGTGCAGGTAGAGTGTAGCTGAGCTGTCCCACTGAGTGGACGGACTGCAGAGGAAAAGAGAAACACATCAAGCTGGAAGTCAATTTAATTTCACAATAAAGATAAAACCTCACGACACAGACACAAAATGACTGTTGGAGAAAAAGATCTGAAAAGCAGGGAAGGGCGTGTGTGTTTCAGAATATCTCAACTGCTTTAGATTTTAGATTTAAAGACTGCAGACATCCTGAAAAGTGTGTACTGTGCTTTACAAGTCCATCAACAGCAGCAAACTTGTCTTACGTAAGCTCTGCCTTCTCCTCAAAAACAGACACTCGCAGGGTTGTTGGTTTGATTCCTGCCAGGTGGAACCTCCTCACCCAGAAAGGCAGCTGGAGGAACTTTTCTGTGGCGACTCGGATCCTCGTCAGACAGAGACCAAAACACAAAAGTTAAAAATCAAGCAGCACAGATGCAAAATCAAACACACAGACATACATCAACATCTCCCTGGTATGAATACTCTTTAACATCTTAATCATCTTAGTTTTCTTGCCTCCAGGCCTTAAATAACAGCATCTTCATCTCATGCCTTTTATGCTGTTACAACAAAATGGCAGTGGTCCAGTGTTGAGGAGGACTGGTGTTGTTCTGGTCTTACTGGTCTGAGGGGACGACGAGCCGTTCTCCATGGTCGATCAGGACGCAGCGAGCCTTACAGGACACTGAGTCCATGATGATTGACTCCACCACGGCCCGACACCATGACTTCATCACTGACCAGTACACCACACACACCTGAGAGAGAAAACACCACACACATCCAATTCACCTGCGGTCCCGTTAAGACCACAGGAAGGAGTAAATGCATTACGTGTGCGTTACCTGTCCCTCTTCTATTGATGTGGGCTTCAGCTTGCGCAGGTCCTGTGTTGCGTCGTGGTAGAAGAGGTTCATCTGAACCATCAGACTGTCGTACTGTTCTGTCGTCTCTGTGTCACCACTGATGACCCGACCCCAGAGGCAGGACGGGTTCTCGACCTGCAGAGGCCAGGAGAAAGAAAGAAACTGCGTTCAGTTTTACGGACATACACTCGCTGTTCACACGATCTCCACTCCAACGACTTTGTTATTTTATACAAAAAGGCAAAATAAAGTAGATAATAGAAAATGTGGCAATTATCTATTCATAATGAACAAAAACAAAATCTATTAACTTCCACATGAAAGCAAAGAAAGAACAAAGAAAAACTGATTCTGTAAAGAGATGGGAAACAGAGGAAATACACTATATATGCATAACAAGCAACACTGCAATGTGACAGTGCAACTTTCAAGGTTTTCATAAGAACAGTCTTAATATCAATATGAGTTGCCTACAGGAAACACACACAAAAACATGACCACAAAAACTTCCCTTTAAATTGTTTTCCATAACATTCAAACAAACATAGTTAATTTAATTAATTAATTTTTTTTTTGCAAAAATCTATCCAAAAGTCTTAAATCGTAAAAGGAACATGACACGTTTAATGACGATTTTTCAAGTTATTTCATGGCTTTTCCATTTTTATTTTCCTGTTTGTTTGGCTGTTTTGTGTTATCACAATGCAATATAACATTTTATAATTACATTTCGAACAACGTTTTTAAGGAACATACACGACCAAACAACTTCACTATTAAATGTAAGTTTTAAAATTGACAGGATTTCACTTTAAGAAACACACAACATCAAAAACATAACTTCAAAAACACACAAAAAAAGGTGCGCCTTATCCACAAAACCTGCCTAACGTCCCTGTTAACGTAATTTATCTACGTATCCACGGTTAACGGTTGACGTTAGCTAACGTTAACTCCATGAAAAGTTCACTTACCTTCAGAATTGATATTTTCAGCATTGTTTGTGGGTCCGTTGCTCAACAGCCACGTCGTAAAAACAACACACACTGCAAAAAAAAAACCCCAACACATCCAGTTCATTAAATTTGCTTTAACAGTCGGTGAAAGCCAAATCACGATTTAACGTTGAGCTGCAGTCGACATTCAATAACACCTGAGGCTAACTGACCCGCGGCTGTCGGCTAGCTAACATGCTACCGTCAGCTCACCGGCTGTTACGCTAGCAGCTAGCTCACAAAAAACTGAACCTAAAAATGGACGTAAATGAAGCGGAATTTGATTTTGGTGTTCATTTGTGTTAAGTTTTGTACTTTTTCCACTCTTGTGATTTAAACTAATACCTACCTTTTTCGGAGCTTCTTAGCGGTAAACGTCGGTGAACCTGAGACAAAAAGGGAGGAGTAGTTCTGTCTCTGACCTGTAGAGGTCGCTGTGGAGACACCTGTTACCTGCCCGGTTTTGTTATTTTGATTTTGCCTTAAACATTTTCGTATTTTACTCTGCTTTTATCAGTGGCCGATGGTAGAAGAAGTACTCTGGCCCTTTACTTAAAAAGCACCATTACATTAATGTAAAAATACCGCGTGAGTAAAATCCTCCAGGTGCCCATATACACAATGAAACAACCTTTTCTTGCTGTAATCATCCCTCTTGTACATCAACCATCAACCTGTTCCCAGACACATATTTTTTTTTGTGCACAAGCCTAAAATGTAATGTATTAAAAATAAAAATGGCACTGTTCTTTATGTCTCCTTTGAAATCTAAAAAGTTATAATGTGTAGAAGAGATACCAAACCAAAGTTATAGGCACAAACATTACAGAAATGTAAGTTGCTGTTTTTTGTTTTTGCTCTTATTGCCACACCTATTTTAGCATAAAAAAGGGAATGTAAGGCCTCTATGTACTTCAGCTCTCTTACACAATATGACTCACATTTAAACTTTTTTCACTGCTAACACTACTGTTTGCGTTGAACAAACATGTTGGCTGCAGTGGTCAATTTAAGGAGAGCTAAGCTAAATAAAACAAACTGTGTAAATAATGAACATAATTCATAACTGTTATCAGTGTTTAACTGCTAGCCCACAACTGATCGGAATAAATTTAATGAATAACAAAATAAATGAACACTGGAATTATTATAGAGTCTTGCAATTCATGTATGTAGCTATTAATCAATTTATTGATTTGATTAAGGTTACTTAATCTGTTAATTTGGGCATTTTGGTGCAGAAGAATACTTCGTGCACGGATCCATTATACGTCTTAATTGCTTTTCTATTTGTACTTCAAGAAATTGTGGACATATGTTCTTCGATTTTTCTATAATGAAAGCAGGAAAGAATGGTGAATGTGAAATTTTGCATAAAAAATAACAGGATTTATTAATTAAACTTATTGTCACCTTCAGTACTTGGGTCATGGAAACCAAACTATTTTAGGGAAAAAATATTACAAACTCTGGACGGAATAAAAGCAGTCAGTTCCTTCCAAAAATGACTGCAATAAATTGAAATTTGTATTTTGCAGTTTTTCCAGTCACGTACGTCATCCAGAAGCGACGTACAGCTGTGTTTCTCTGGTGTGGTACTGCGCGTGCGCAATTACAGGAGTCCTTGGCTTGTCGGCCTGCTGTAGGTTACTGATCCTGTGAGGGGACACCGACAAGATGCAGAGCTGGACTCAGTTATATCGCTCTCTGGCCACGGTAAGCACGGATCTTTCTAACCCACGAACCAGCCTGTGTTGTCCGGGTCGGTTTCAGGCTTGTCTCGCAAGCGGTAGGGCCCGTGGATACTGGTGTTCTCAGATCCGCGGATCGGGCCTGGCTAGCGGGTCAGCTAACAGCTCCGGTTCGGTGAAATCATATGGAGAGGACGCAACGCCAGGCTCCACCGGGAAAACCTGCAATTTAGACGTGTTGTGGTTATTGTTGAAAAAGAGATGTCGCTCAATGTGTAATTCATAATGTGTCCAATTTTATAAGTTTTACTTTTATTCGGCGTGAGTAAAAATAAACAAAAAGACCCATATTTTAATAAAAATATCACTTTTGTTGAGGAAAACACATGCAACGTTAGCTAGTTCATAGTGCAAACAAATCATAAACGTTTTGAGATGAGGGATATCTGTCTGCTGGGTTAAAAGATCTCTACTAAGATTAGAGATTAAGTAGGTGAGTTTTCAGTTTTCTCTCCCTACAAAACACGTTAGCACGCTTAGCTAGTTAGCAGCGGTTACCTAACTCTTAACGTAAGTTATGTCAGAAGCTCAGCGACTTAAAGTAGCGTCCTCTCACAACTGTACGAGGTTAACAACCACCAAATTTCTGATCATTCCTCTCTGTTGAGAAACTATATTCAGTATTTCCCTTTTCTCTACTACTCATATATTGTGCCAAAGTACGTTTGGTCGCTAACTAGCTAGCAACCTGCTCAGCTAGAAATGCTAAACAGATGCTGGTTCAGTTCCCAACACTGACAGCTTGCACCAACTGCAGCTGTGTGTATGTTGTGGGCAAATGACATAGTTTATTGATGTATGAAATAAATGCAACCCCTAAGACTTAATTCAAATGCTAAAGCACTGGTACTTCTTATTTAATGACCTTAAAAAGTAGAAAAAAATATGCAGCAATTGTGGCATGTGCAATTAAATATTCTTAATGTATAAAACCAAAGAAAAGAGAGGAACGTGAAAATATTCCTTCTATTTGCCAATTTGTGTTTCCTTAACTTGGATTTATAACTCTTTATAACTTTGTAATTGTGGTGTTGACGGTGTTATGACAAAGTTTCCATCTTCCCCAAATCTGTTTTCACAGTGGTTTTCACTCAGCTGTCGTCAGTGTGTAGTTGAGCAGGTGAACAAAGACATTTTTAGTGAAGGAAATGAACAGAAGAAATAACAAGAGGAAGAGTTCACCTGTGAAATACTGGAAATAGACATTTGTGCTTGGAGAGAATAAGATCAGGAACAAAGATCTCTTTATATCAGAAGTGGAACTGGTTCGATTACTTTGACCTGACTGCTTTCATTCTCACATATTGTTAAACGTGTTTTTAGTTTTGGTTTGTGACACTCTTTTCCTCACTTGTGTTCTTCTGTTTGCTTCAAAGCGGAGCCACCACCTGCCCTGCAAACTGCACGGAGCTACAGCTGTGTCGGCCCGAACCTACGCTGACAAAGCAGCAAGTAAGACGACTGTAAATCTTATCACCTGTCTTCATTAGCGATATGTTCTCCTATGAACTTTAGCCACATGTTTGATAATTGTTGCCCCTTTAGCTGATACTGGACCTTCTCTTCACAAGAGATTTGTTCTCCAGCGGCACATACCAGAGTATCTGTCTGAGTTTTAAAATGTTTAGTATCGGTTTTTAATTGGTTGATGCATCCATTTCAACCACCCCCCTCATGTCTTATCTCTGTGCTCTGAGCTGCTGTGTGATAAACGTGTGATCAAAGTCACTGTGTTGCTTCGCTGTAGTCGATGCTGACGTCACAGTGGTGGGCTCCGGTCCAGGCGGCTACGTCGCTGCCATCAAAGCCGCACAGCTCGGCTTCAAGGTAACGCCCCTCCCTGACAGCTCATGTACTCAAATGATTTACTAGTAGAAATCAGATTTTCATTTTTATTTAATTATATATTTTATTGTCATATTATGGAAACACATCTGCTGGTCAGAAAGGGCAGAAACATTAATGCTGACGATGCATTTCCTTTGACAGACAGTGTGTGTTGAGAAAAATGTCACGCTGGGTGGAACCTGTCTGAATGTCGGCTGCATCCCCTCAAAGGTAAGTGAGTGGTTTTACGTCTGATCAGACTGATCTGTTTAAAATGCATTAAAGGTCTGATGTAAGTGTATAAACACGGTTCCTAAAGTTATGTTAAGTGATATTTTGTGTCTGCAGGCTCTGCTGAACAACTCCTACTTGTACCACATGGCTCACGGCAAGGACTTTGAAAGCAGAGGCATTGAAAGTAAGAGGCTTCACTGACTTTAAAGTTTAAGGTTTTGTGTTGCTCACTGGGGTCGGTACAGACACTAAAGTGGCTTCCGGATAGAGAACCGTTAAAGATGAGCTTCTGTAGCATCTTCACCTCAACATCCGTCTATAAAAAGTCAGAGAAGTTTGGAAAAATTCTTGTGTCTTCCTCTGGAGAAAACGGCAGCTAACTTTCATTTTCAGTGTCAAATAATCTGCATGAAAACAACTTAACAATTAATAAATTATCAAAATAGTTGGTGATTATTTTTCTGTGTAATCGATGAACTGTTTCCACTCTAAAGTGTGTGTGTGTGTGTGTGTGTGTGTGTGTGTGTGTGTGTGTGTGTGTGTGTGTGTGTGTGTGTGTGTGTGTCTCAGTTTCAGGCATCTCGTTGAACCTGGAGAAGATGATGGCTCAGAAGAGCGGGGCGGTCAAAGCTCTGACCGGAGGAATCGCACATCTATTCAAACAGAACAAAGTCAGACTTCTTTCTCTCTGTGTTTTAATGTTTGTTCACTAACGTCTCATTCACAGTCCGAACCACAGGTAATGGTCTTAACAGTGTGACATCGCCTTCCTCAGGTGACCCATGTCAATGGTTTCGGGAGGGTGACGGGTAAGAACCAGGTGACGGCCACAGTAGCAGACGGCAGCGAGCAGGTCATCAACACTAAGAACATCCTCATCGCCACCGGCTCCGAGGTCACACCCTTCCCCGGGATCCAGGTGCGGCTCAGTTTCACTTGTATTCAGTTAAAGAAATGTGTGAAATGAAATGTTTAACGCGCTGGTCAAACATGTGACAGTCTTAATATTGTTTGTATGTTTTTGTAGATCGATGAGGACACCATCGTGTCGTCGACGGGAGCGCTGTCCCTGAAGAAAGTGCCAGAGGAGCTGATTGTGATCGGAGCCGGAGTCATCGGAGTGGAGCTGGTCAGCATCACCTCAGCCTCATTCACTAAGAAACTCATTTATATGTTAGATAGTGACTGACTGATGAGATATGACTTGTCGTCGTCTTAGTCACGCACGTGTTTGACACTCCCGTCCTCCAGGGGTCAGTGTGGCAGCGTCTGGGCTCTAAGGTCACAGCGGTGGAGTTCCTGGGCCACGTGGGCGGCATGGGCATCGACATGGAGATCTCCAAGAACTTCCAGCGCATCCTGCAGAAGCAGGGCGTCAAGTTCAAGCTCAGCACCAAAGTCATGGGAGCCACCAAACGGCCCGACGGCAAGATCGACGTGGCGTGAGTAAAAACACTGAAGCCTCAGATCCCGTGAGGAGACGTTGAGATGTAAACTCCACAGGAAGCGGTTGGTAGTTAATATTAGGAGTGTTGGTGTGTTCCAGAGTCGAGGCGGCGGCCGGAGGGAAGAACGAGACGCTGACGTGCGACGTGCTGCTCGTCTGTATCGGCAGACGACCTTTCACCCAGAACCTCGGTCTGGATTCCGTCGGCATCGAGCTGGACAACAGGGGCCGCGTTCCCGTCAACAACCGCTTCCAGACCAAAGTGCCCAGGTAACCGCCGCGCTCAGGCTGACCAGCGGACAGTAACGATCCCGGACCCGTCAGCATCTCTGAAACCGTCCTCCGGCTTATTGATGATCACATGACCTCTACTGGAGTTATGAGGCCCCTTAGAATATTTAACAGTTTGATTAATCCAATAAAGATTTATTGGCTGCCATTTTTAAAGATTTGGTTCTGAAAGAATTACGTTAAATATGAGCAAAATCATCAGAACAGAAAATAATAATTTGACTGGGAATTTAAAGTTTTATCAATAACAACACAAATACAGTAAAAACATCAAATAGTTATTTATTACATAATGGAAAGGAAGTAACACTGATGCTCTCCGAGCTCCAGCTGCAAACAAAGAGAAAAATTACACAATAAATAAATAAATAAGAAGAATATCAGAAAATAATAATAAGTAATTATAATAATTACAAAATGTGAACAATTGACAAGAAAGAAGAGAAATGAATATAAAAAAAAATAATAAGTTATAAATCCCCATTATCCCATTCCCACCTCTCACCACTAAGATTATTGATAAAGTCAATTCAAGTTGTTTCATACCATGAAATATCAAATCTGTACATGCAGCCGATAAGAAAACTTAAATTCACATACATAAATATACATCTTCTTACATTTACCTGCTCTGGGTTACAGTGACGTGTGGTGTAGCATTGACCTTTGACCTGTCTGTCAATTATTCTCAAGACGTTTCTGTGATTGTGTGTTTTTTTTTTCCCCCTCCGTCAGTATTTATGCGATCGGTGACGTGGTCGCCGGGCCGATGTTGGCCCACAAGGCCGAGGACGAGGGCATCATCTGTGTGGAGGGCATGGCCGGCGGCGCCGTGCACATCGACTACAACTGCGTTCCCTCCGTCATCTACACGCACCCCGAGGTGGCCTGGGTGGGCAAGACGGAGGAGCAGGTCAAAGAGGAGGTGAGTCGTCCGCTGCGATTAATGTTTTGTTTAACTTTGTTTTCCTGCATGAAAAGTGAAAGAACTGTTTTACAGCCTCGCTCTCTCCTCCTCTTCAGGGCGTCCCGTACAGAGTCGGCAAGTTCCCCTTCGCCGCCAACAGCCGAGCCAAGACCAACGCCGACACCGACGGCATGGTGAAGATCCTGAGCCACAAGGAGACGGACAGGATGCTGGGAGCGCACATCCTCGGATCTGTGAGAGCAAAAAGCATCATGAGCGAGGGGGCGGCGGCTCGTCTTCAGCCCCGCGTCACAATCTGAGACTGACACTTCCTGTCTGTGCGTTTCTCCGCAGGGAGCCGGAGAGATGATCAATGAAGCTGCTTTGGCCATGGAGTACGGAGCTTCCTGCGAGGACGTCGCCAGAGTCTGCCACGCCCATCCTGTACGTAACACACACACACACACACACACACACACACACACACACACACACACACACACACCAACACAATAACACTGAACAATTGTAAGATACACATTTTTTATTTTTGTGCGTATCAGTTTTTCTGTTGATCTGTTAATTGACGTGTTGATTAATCAGCTAATTGTTTGAACTCTATTTTAAAACTTTATTCAACTCTGTAAAGAACAAATTTCTGACTTAAAGTGACAGTCAACCAGGAGACAGAGTGTTAATATGTGACTTCACCACTGAGCATCTGTCAGCAGAATGTAAACATTATAAAATGTTTGTGACACTATAATATAGTTAAAGAAATGGGAGAACTGTAAGTGTTTCTTAATGTACAGTATTTGTCAACAAATGTAACTTCTCATACGAGTGTGTCCATGTGGATTCACGTCATTGATAAATATATAATAAACATATATAGAACATATATAAACATATATAAAATGTGTTTATTCTACTTAGAAATGGGAAAGTTAAAGTAAAAGACACAAAGAAATAATCTGCGAAAATAAAATTGGTTTAAAAAAACAAACAAAAAAACATATTAACAGTTAAAACACAATCAGAGTGAAGTTAAAACTCAAACTAACTCTCTTCTTCCTCCTCCTCCTTCTCCTCCTCCTCCTCTTCCTCCTCCTCCTCCTCCTCCGCAGACGGTGTCGGAGGCCTTCAGAGAAGCGAACCTGGCCGCCTCCTTCGGCAAAGCCATCAACTTCTGATCCTCCAGCCGCTGTCGCACCTTCAGTGTACATAACAGAGGAGAAACAGGAAGCCGTGTGTCTGCGTCCCAACCTCCAGCCGACCCTCTGTACATCAGCACTGTACCACATCTAGTTCTAATGTTATTTAAATGTTGCAGTAAAATAAATGAAGGGGGTTTGGGCGGTAAATAAACACTGACTGCAGATCAGTCTTTTTTGAGTTTAAAGATCCCACATGAACATATGACGCACTTATTTACAGAACATAGAGATATACTTATTATCTTGGCTGCGGTTTCTCTTGTAAAGGAAGAAAGGAGTGTTTTTTGTTTTTCAGTTTTTTTACAGTGTAAAATGATGAAACACGACAAACCTGACGGGTAATCAGAGCGGGAAACTGTCGCTGCTCCACGATCCACACATTCAACTTTTCAGATTGATCTTGTTTTATTTTGTTTAACCAGGTGGGAAACCTGGACGAGACGGCGGCGATACAAAAACAAAATAGATCATTTGTGCAGGGAAAGTTTAAAACGTCTTCTCACGAGCTTCAGGCACATCTCACTGTCTTAAAGTTAAAATCACTTTTGATTTTAAATCAAAGTATGAAATCCTCTAATTTAAGGGAAAATAACTTAATTTAAGGAATAAAATTAAAAGCATAAACATGAGCTTCCTGGTCCTCTTCCTCTCACCACAGAACAAACTAAAAAAAACAGCATTTACCTTTTTATAACTTAAATCCAACACTTACTGTGACGACACTGATTTGGTCTGAAACCGAAGCTCAGCAGCAGATTTCTGATTTTAACTTTTTAAAATCGGTATGAATTCATTTTGTGGCGACGAGCTGTGAAAGCTGGGAAACTGTTTCCTGCTCTGATTACTTCACTGTGATTGGCTCTGGCCTGCTGTTGCTTATCTCACTATTTAAACCAATAAATGCAGAATCCATTAAATAAAACTTCAGTGTTTGACTTTACGTCGACTGACAAGTTTTTGTTTACAATCACTTCCTGTTCAGGCCTCGGTCTGTGTGATGTGTCGCTGGACCACAGGAAGGTACAGGTGTGTTCACAGCTCAGACTCAGTGATTTATTCAGACACTTTTAATAACTTTATTGTCCTGTAATCTGAAGACACAGTCAGACAAAGTGTAAATAGTGAGTCATGTCAGACAGAACCTTCGTCTTCATTATATTTGTATTTCACTGAAATACAACAGTAGACAGTAAACACGTTGCACTACAGCTCTGGACTCACTTCACACATTTGTCCTTGGCACCAACTTTAAGATGAAGTCAGGCTTTCAGTGTGTGCCATTAAGAAATAATAGAAAACTACAGAAAATATGAGTCAGGAAACAGCTGGAGAAACCAGGAGATCTGAGTGAAACTGAAAAGTTTGAAAAAAACTGCATCAAAGTGTCCGTCTTTTCTTAATGTAGAAAGTTTCAGACTCCATCAAGTTGCATCATAACAGATGGTAGATGATGGAGCCCGTCCAGAGCACAGACTGCATTGCATCTGATCTGCAGCTGAAGCAGGAGTGGCGTGTTACTGTGGGACCACATGAGGGCGCCGTCGCGTGGATGTTACCGTGCACAAGTCGTAGTATTTATTCGCTTCATATTGTTGCTCAGGTGCAGTAATGAAACTGTCATCTTCATTCTGCTGCATGTTGAAGAGACGCAGATTCATTTGTCACTTTCATAATATTCACTTTATAATAACAGAGACATGTTAAAAACACAGAAAAGATGAACATACAGAGCAGTTTGGGTGGGAGGAGTCAGTCAATATGTTTGTGGCCTTTCTAAAACACTGGTCTGCACATGTTTCAGTTATGGTTGGGAGAGATACACCTAATGATGGTGCTAAGATAGTTTATTTTTAGTTTAGCACTAGAGAAAGACACATCTGAGGCGTTAGCTTTGCTAGTTGCTATTTTTTTTGGCCAGAAAGATTGAAAAACTGATTTGACCATAAAAACTTTATTGAGACGCGTCAGTGAACAGACTTCCTTCTGTTTCATGACTCAAACTGTATTTGAATAACTTGTATTTTAGCAGCAGAGACTCCACCTCTGTTTGAACACTGACTACACAGAGGTGTGTGTGTGTGTGTGTGTGTGTGTGTGTGTGTGTAGCAGGTGTGGTGGCTGCTGCTGCAGGTTGAAGGAGACACACTTGAAGAGGTGAAGATGGCCGACTGAAGTTCAGCAGCAGCAGCAGCAGCAGCGACGTTCAACAGCCGCCTGAACAAACGGAGAAATGAGATTTAAATAAGATAAAACCCTTCGTTCCTCTCAGGTACCGTCACCGTGGTTACCGCTGTTTCTCTCTTTCTCATCCACAGTCACTTCTTCACTTTCATCTGCTTCTGTCTTTCAGGTGATTCTGACACTTTCTCGTGTCTGTGAACGTTTGTTTTGTTTCCCTTTCTCCCTCTTTCCTCCTGCTCTCCCTGTTTCTTCCATCTTTCCTTTTCTTCCTCCTCTTTTTTCATTCTTTCTCTCTTTTGTTTCTTTCTTTCTGCTTCCTTTAATTTTTCTTTCTTACCTCTCTCTTTTATTCTTTTATTTATTTTCCTCCCTCCCTTCTTTTCTTAGTTTTCACCTGTTTTTCCTCTCTGTGTTTTTCATCTCTTCTTCCTCCTTCTTTTCCCATTGCTTGTCTTCTTTCTTTCCTTGTTTTCTTCTTTCACTCCCCTCTTTCTTTTTTCTTCCTGCCATCTTTATGTTTTTCCTTCCTTCCTGTCTTCTCCTCCTTCTCCTCTTTCCCTGCTTCCATTTAATTTTCTTTATTCTCCTTTCTTTCTTTCTTTCTTTCCTTTTTGTCTTCTTCCTTTCTGGTTCTCCGTGTCCTCCGTGTCCAGCAGCAGAGACAGACCCAGTCTCATGTTGAAGTGAAGTGTAAACAGCTTGTGGCCGTTTGTGGACGTCAGTTAAAGAGAAACATGTTTTTTTTCCAGCCACATGATGAACCACATGATGAAGTTTAAACGTTTAACCTGCTGCAGTGAAACTGTTCAGCTCAGTTTCTTCATCATGACGCAGCAGCACAGCGCATCAGTTCATCTCTGAAGGTCTGACACTTACTCTGTTCCCTCTTCATGAGACGTTACAGTGTCTTTAAAAGAAGATAGAAACTCTCTATTCTCCACAGCCTTCGTTTAATCTTTTAAACTTACACTTTAATGAGATATTTTCTATTTTTATGATCATGTTTTTATACTGTTGAGCACATTGTTTGACCTCTGTGTGTGATAATGTGCTAACTACTAACTATGTGTGACTATGGGAAACATTCATGTTTCTCACTGGATGAACCCTTTTGACTTCGAGGTTCCTCTGACCTCCCCTCTAGCGCCACCATGAGGTCGACATTTTCTTGTTTTTTGCTGAAATATCTCAACAACTAATGGACAGATTGCGCTGCTAACGTGCCTGAAGACTCTTTAAACAAGATAGAGCTTTGTTTCAAACATGAGAAGCTGATGAAATATTCATTTGGACGTCCTGGTTTTGGTCGAGAGAAAGGAACTGGGTCGGTTCCCTGACGGCAGCTTCATGTCCTGCCGTCTGAGATTCAGCGGTTGCTTCACTTTGTTTACAGTTGGATCTTTAAGTAAAGATTGTGACTCTAGTTTTCTTGCTCCAGGCGATCAGAGCAGAACAGGAAGTGGGCCTGTTTTTGTCACGGGCCACTTTCACTGTTTGAGTAGACAAATAGCTGTTTGGAGAGAGGCCCGTGATGATGATGATGGTGATGATGGTGAGGATGATGAGGGTGAGGATGTGTGTCCCTGCTGATTAGAGTGAAAACAGAGCTGGATGTAGACGGAGGGCGGAGACGTTTCCTCTCTTTGATCAGTTCTGGGTTGTTTTTGGGAAAAGTCTGGTCTTTCTGTCAGACGTCACTTCCTTCCTCCTCCATCGTTGTATTCTGAGCAGCGCAGGTCAGGAACACTTCGGCCTCAGCCGCTCGTCCGGAGGGAAGGATGTCGACGTTTCTTTAAAACTCGTCATCAGTGAGTAAAATATTTCACTCACAGCTTTAATCTGCGAGATGTTTCTTTGGCTTATTGGCTTTGGAAAAACCTGTTGATCGAGAGGACCAGAGGGTGTTTTGCATTTATTATTAAGGATTCTTGATGGTTAATGGGTAAAAACAGACAGTTTCAGAGAAGTGTAGTAGTGTAGTTCTGCAGTGATGAATCTTTTTTTTACCTTTTTGTATTTTTAGTTTTGTTTTTCTCTTTTGTTTTTGTGTTTATAGCTTTTAAAAAAAGACATGTTATGTATATATCTTTTACTTTCTGGAGGATCTGATCACGACACGTCCTTTAAAAAGAGAGATGACTTCAGTTATACACGCTCTGATGAAGGCCTATTGATTACAAATAAAGTTCCTCAACAAATTGACACGTGAGGTGATTCTTCTGCTGTTCAACTTTGGAGATTTTTCTTTTGTTAAACCAATAACGAGCCATCTTGATATCTCCGGATCTCATTACCATCCAATCAGATTGAACCTCCTCTCTATAGGAGTCACTGGTGCATGGTGTGAACTTAGTGTCCCATTAGAGACCGTGGGAAGCTAACAAACTTAGCAATGAAGTAAGCTAACTCATTGTTAGCAAGCTCGCTAACTCAGGAAGCTTCACTTTCCCTCTTCAATGACTTTTTATAGAACGAAATGGTTTGCGGTGGTGAACGATATGTCAGGGGAAAGTAAAGAAAGAGAGTAGAGAGAAGCTCCACCAGCTACAAATGCCCCTGGAGGCCCCCACCCCACCTAAAATGACTATTGTTTCATGGTCTTTTTTGTGTCTTTTAATGGAGCTCTTTGACTTTCAAACAAGAAACAATAAGATTCACTTTATACAGAGGCCCAGACCCTCATCAATCAGTAATCCATACATCCAGTCCATAATTGAACTGGAGGATTTCTGCAGCAGCATTTGGATTGGTTTCCTGTTCCTACTCTGTGTTGTCTGAGTTCTTGTGTTCAAGTTCATTTGTATTGTCATTTTCAGACATATGTCAATATCCAGACACACAGTTACGTGCGTATTTGCTCCCGGCCCTGTTAATTGAACGGTGTTGTGTTATCAGAGTGTGAATCAGTTAATGTGCTGCTGCTGTTTGTTCATGGTGGAGGCCTGAAGCTGGAATCCACTCAGTCATGTCAGCAGAGTTTGATGGATGTAATGTTTGTTTGATTTCCTACGTCACTGTTGTTAGGAAACCTCCAGTTTGATGATGATGATGATCGGTATCGGTATCAGCAGCAAAAAAAACCCCAGTATACTCACTGGTGTGACTTTAAAATGAACGCCTTATGATTGCTCTGGTGGCCGAATAGTTGCAGCACACGTCGCATCAACAGTTCAATTCTAGCTGTGGACCTTAGTTGTACGTCGTACTCTTCTCTCTCCCCGTGTTTCCTGTCTGACTCTTCTTCTCTTGGTTATCTAATAATAATTTTAAGTATTGTAAATCCAGTGTTGTAACTCGTGACACTGGTGACGCCTCCCATGACCACGAGAAAACCTCTCTCGCTTCCAGAGCTCCTCACCCTCTTCATCATGCCTCCCACCCATCCGCCAATGCCACATTCATCTAACCCAGCACCTAATGCTTCAGCTTCATGGGCTCCACCTGTCATCTCCACCACCTCCACCCACACTAACACCACCATCAATCCAGCTGCCGCCGCTGCCGCCAAATTCTTCAACGACCTGCTGGACCAGATCCCCTGTAAGTCACCAAACAGCAGCTAAAGCAGAATATGTTAAGTCTGGCATGTCTTCAGTCTATCAGGGCGGGATCTTAACAATGACCAGGAGGAATGATTACAGCAAGTAAAACCTGTTTCAGTGTACACATTGAGAAATTGTGAACCTCGCCTTTAATGCAGCAGTATCTTTGGTCTGTGTGTATGTGCACGACACAACAGATACCTGATAACTAACCGTGTGCTCGTCTCGTCTCCTGCAGTGCCACGATGGGCGATCTACACCATCTTTGCGGCCGGTGTTCTGCTGATCCTGCTCTGCTGTCTGTGCATCTGCATCAAGTGCTGCTGCAAAGGGAAGAAGAAGAAGCGGCAGCAGAAGACGGGTGAGAACATCAACCTGAAGGGGGTCAACGGGAAAACCACCACAGCTCTGGTGAGTCCCTGTGAATCTCAGGGATATCAAGATACCGGAGATTTGGTCGGTACCAACACCAATGAAATTCACGTTGTTGTTCCTTATTAAAACGTTTAAAAGTGCAGGAACCCGAAAATCTGCTGGTGTCAGTTCTGACTTCAGTTTCACCTGATGTGTTTCCTGTGCTCTGACAGGTTCAGCCAGATGTGGCAGATGTGGACTACGGTTCGACCAAGAAGCAGCGAGGAAGGCTGCTCTACTCTCTGGAGTACAACGCCGCTCTGTCTGAGGTGAATCAGTCTCTGACCAAATGCAAATCCCTCATGAATACTGACATACGTTTTGCTCGGGGGGGAGAATAGAGGCGGCGTTACAAGCAAACAATGATCAAATTTGTTAAGCATCATCGGTGCCTCTGGTGCCAAAGTCAAAGACGAGATATTGTTCAGGAACACATCTGCAGCTTTTGTAGGTTTTGTTATAAATCTAGAAATCAGTTGATGTGGTTGAGATGAAAAGAGATCAGAATATTCAGGGTTGATATCGGGGAAAGACGACCCAGATTGTGAGCATCTTTCAGCCAGACCCTCTCCTTCAGGTTAGGGTTAATACCGCCTCAAATCTTAACCATCTAAGATTTGGGTTGATCTGTATCCCAACCTTTTCTGGGAAAAACTGACTGATGAGTAAGATCAGCGCTTTACTAAAGGTCTGTTTTCTGTCGGTCTGTGCAGCTCATAGTCGGGGTCAAACAAGCCGACAGCCTGATGGCCATGGACCTGGGAGGAAGCTCGGACCCGTACGTCAAAGTTTACATCTGCCCCGACAAACCCAAAACCTGCGAGACCAAAGTGTTCAGACACACGCTGAACCCCGTCTTCAACGAACAATTCAACTTCCAGGTAAGAAGTGGCCGTGATTCCATCGAGTTTAAAGATGGTCTTTGAATCTGAAGAAATCTGCAGTTTAAGACACAAAAACAACACGTTGATCTCCCCTCGCTCTGGTTTTGTTTAATATTTAACCTGATGAAGTTGTTCTGCAGGAATCACACCTTCCTACCGCTGAGCTTCTAAACCTGAGCGATCTTCCCCCAGATATCCAAGTCCTCCCTCCTGAAGTCGACGGCGGTGATGAAGGTGTTCGACTTCAACAGATTCTCCAAACACAACATCATCGGCGAGCTCAGGGTGCAGCTGTGCAACGTCGACTGGAACCACGTCATCGAGGAGTGGCAGGACCTCGCCGAGCCCGCCAAGTTCGAGGTAGAGCAGCGAAAAACGGAGCGACCAAGAATCCAGACTCAGAGTGGACGGACATACCGACAAACAAAGATGATGCTGTCATGTATAATTTTACCTCCTTAGTTTAGTGTTTTGCACCAGATTAAAAGTCAGAGGATCAATATTTTTGAAATTCATCCTCTGGGAAACATGAACCAAATTTCATGGCGATCCAAATCAATAATTGTCGAGATATTCACCCTCTGGGGACCATGAATGTCTTTATAAAACCTAATAAGATCAATCAATAGTTAAATAAAAAAGGCTGAGTGCTCATTAAATACATCTGAGTGAATTCAAGTACAAAAGCAGGAATTTTTATTTGTGTGTGTGTTCGCTGCAGGAAGAAGAGCTGGGCGAGATCTGCTTCTCTCTGCGTTACGTTCCCACCGCCGGAAAACTGACAGTGGTGATCCTGGAGGCCAAAAACCTGAAGAGCATGGACATCGGAGGATCCTCAGGTCAGACATCACAATCACTCACAGCCACAAAGAGATGAAATCAGATTCATGAATGGAAACATACGAAACTCTGATACCTGAATGTTTTTCTTCCACCTTGGTGTTTGCAGATCCTTATGTGAAGGTGCAGTTGGCTCTGGACAAGAGGAAGTGGAAGAAGAGGAAGACGTCCATTAAAAAGAAGACGCTGAACCCTTATTACAACGAATCCTTCACCTTCGACGTGTCATTCGAACAAATCCAGGTGAGACTCAGCAGATACGGGACTTTCCAGGCTGATACTGTTATTATTAATTAAGATAATCTGATAATGTTTTTATCAGCTGTTATTAATAAATTTACATAAACACGTAACACAATCAAACATTTGATGTCTTTCGAACACGGATCTCTTCAGTTAAGACATGTAACGAGTGGATTGTTTTATAAACTAATGAAGACGTTGTATTTAAATGATCTCATCCTAATATGTTTTTGTATTTATAATAGTCTTTTATATATATATATATATATATATATATATATATATATATATATGTATATACAATATACATATATATATTTAAGTATATGCTGCATTACAGAAAAAATATTTTGCTTTAATAACAATTTTATTTATTTAATTATGACATAATTAATGCCTTCATAAATAGGAAATGCATATAACAATGTGAAATTTTATTCACTTTATTTCTTTAAATATTTAATATTTAGATTTTAGAAGAAATGAAACCAGAACTGTGTCTGGACTGAAATCACCCGTGACTCTGTTGTCGTCCTCAGAGGGTGAACCTGGTGGTGTCCGTGTGGGACCACGACGCCATGACCCGAAACGACGCCATGGGGAAGATCTTCCTGGGCTGCGACGCCACGGGGAACCAGCTGAGGCACTGGGCCGACATGTTGTCCAACCCGCGGCGGCCGGTCGCTCAGTGGCACAGCCTGCTGTCGGCCCAGCAGGTCAACTCCACCCTGAGCCTGAAGAAGAAGATCCCCCTCCACAGCAAACTGCCCTTCTGACGGAAAACTCACGGCGGTCCTTCGCAGAAAAAACATTTCACTCTCCAGATGAAGAGATTTAGATTTTATCTATCAGATTGATTACTTTGTATTTAAAATGAAAGATTAATTATATTTTACTATTGAATCATAAAGTGATATCTTACATGAGCACTTCTTTCCTCCTGTATGAACTGTATCGTACGTCAAAGCAAATTTCATCCTCAAACTGTTTGAAGAGTTTGCTGTAAAAATACATATTAAATATCATGTGATCACATCCACCGTATGTGTCCAAGTCTCAGGGCAGCCGTGGTTCTCAGTGATCCTCAGGATGTTCGTGGAGGAAAGACGAAGCGAATCAATCCACGTCCTGGAAATCCTTGAATTCTGTAGTGAAGGTTTTCCAGCCAAGTCCCCGTCGCAGAAATGAGAAATTTAACCAAAACTGAAAACTGAAAAAAAGAGTTAAACACCGGCGTCAGAACTGGGATTCTGCAAAACAGCAAATAACATAATGATAAGTAACTTTACGATCATTTTGGAGGCTGTAGTTTGTATAGTATAGTTTATACAGAGAGGTGTTTGTTATTTATCTTTCTCTCATTGATATAAAAAGGGTGGAATAAATCAAATCATAGAAAAAACTAGAACCACCTCCTCATGGTCGTATCCCTCCGCCACTCAGACTAGTTCCAGGTCTCATCCCTGTTTATCCAGAGTCACAGAGAATATGAACCATTTGTGTGAAATTTGGTCAAAATTACTGACTGAAGTCTTGAGTAGCTACTAACAAGTGTTTTCTGAGGTCACTGTGACCTCTGACCTTTGACCACCAAACTGTAATCAGTACACTGCTCAGGTAACGGTACAAAGCTGCAGGTGTTCTTGGCAGCCAGCAGAGGAAGCTACAGCCTCAGTAACGGCTCCTCGCCGTCTGCTCTGTGCATGGCCACATCACAGGCGTCATGGTGACGTAGTGACATCAGCTGTCAACACAACAAATTCACCAAAACAAACTCCTTTGGCCCGTGAACCACTGATAATGTACAAACAGGAAACAGATTAACTACATGAAGTAGAACCTCTGTCTCTAATATTGAATATATACAAAGGTCTAAACATCAAAAATACATTTGTTATACATGTGTAATGTGATGTACTTTGTAATTTTGTGAACCCCACAAAATGAAGGGGTGTGTTAGAGAGACAAAACGAGCGGTGGCTCAACCACTGATGGAAAAAAACAGTAAGATTAAATAGACAGAACTCTTTTAAATGTATTAAGGTCGAAAGATTTTCATCATGAAAGATGGGAACATATTTATCTTCAAAGCATGTCCTTTCCTTTACAGTCATTTTAAATCATTTTCTAAACTTTTACCCACTTTCCAACAGGACAGTAAATGTCCGAACACGTCCTCTGTGCTGCTGAGGTGCCTTCGAGCAAGGCACTGGACCCTCAGCGGCCCTGGTGCCTGCAGCACGAGGTCTGTGCGTTCATGGCCTCTCCCCTGATGGATGAAGGTTTAAAATCAGATCAATCAAGCTGAGCTCAGCGGGCGTCTCCTCCTGCTGCTTCAGACCTCCAGAGATCACCTTCATTAAACAGTCCCTGAGCTCCGGAGACAGCCGAGGGGTTCGTTTGATTTTAACTCCGTCAGCTCCCTGATGCTGAAATACAGCCTCATTTTATCTGCAGAAGGAAAAATACACCCAGTGTAGAGTAAATGAACACCTACTTCAGTTTGGTTTGGGTCTGTTTTCCTGGGGATGGTGTATACGTCCCTTCGACATCTCTCATTTACAAAGATACTCAGACCCTTAATTCAACACTTTGTAGAAGCCCCTCTGTCTTTACAAGCTTTGCACTTCTGGATCTGAGCAGTTCGTCCAGTTCCTCTCCAGCAGTGTCTTCAGGTCTCTCCTACTTCTCTCAGATACTTCTCTCCCTGGTTGGTCATTTGCTCTAAAGCTCCATGTTCATGCTGATAAATGATTTTCAGGCTTATTTTTGCCTTTATTATAGTTACAGTGAGAGAGAGACAGGAAAGGCAGAGGGGAGGGGAGAGAGGGGATGACATGCAGCAAAGGGCCACGGTTCGGACTCGAACCCAGGCTGCTGAGGTAAAGGACTAGGCGCTGTACCAGGTGAGCCACTGAGGCTCCTCTTAAGTGTTAATGTTGTTAGTATTAATGGGAAAAGACACAAGTCACTTCACCAGTTTGATGCTTTTTATTTCTCCATTTGTAGTAACAATACGTTAAACAGTTAGAACTGAAACATACATCACGTACATGGAAAAATTAATTTCTTGTGTTATACACCTGTACTAATTAAGAGAATTAGTACTGTTACTATTATAGTCGGTAAAATGCACACTTGCACAATCTCCTTCACCAGTATTGGATGGTGCTTTGCAGTTGTCAAAAAAAAGTTTTCCTGCTTTCAAGAATTTTTGAAGGCTGTCCAGGGAGCACTCCTGCACTTTGCCATTCTTGTCATTCTTTGCTATTGCAGCACCATTCTTAAAGGGTTTACCATTGTTATTCAGGCAGCAGAAGGCATGCCACAAGTAGTCAGGGATGTTGACACGGTTCTTTACCCAGTTTTTTTCAGAGGGAATTGCACCGACCAGAACGTAAGCTTCCCTGCAATTTGCTAAAATTATCTTCAGTGTCTCCTCATATTTCTTCCAGGACCCGCCGTTCAGGTCTGCGTTCTGTGGAACCACGTTGGTCAGGGTGAAAGTGGCCTTGCAGCCATTTCCTGCAGAACAGTGATGGAGAGATTCAGGCGAGAGAGTCACAGTAAATTAGACGAGAAGTAAACTGTCAATTTGTGGATGTGAAAAAGGAGTTTGGAAAATAATGGATGTATATGGTGGATGGATCAGAGAGAGACATTTCACTGCTAATGTGCCTTGAGACTAGACCATGTGTGCCTGGTGGTGGCTGGTTCATTCTGTTTATAGTTATGGTTACATTCATTATTACTCACCAAAATGCATTGTGGGTATCCTTAAGGTCTAATAAACATAAACAGTGCCTTTTCTTCCTCTTAAAACATTTTCAAAGAGAGTTTAGTCCTTTGAAGCCAACATTGTTGACATCTGTGTCTGCTTTGGTCAAAAACTCCACAGGATACCTTTAAAGCTCCTCCAGTGTAAAGGTCTCTGTCCATGTGTAGTGTGATTATAGATCAGCTCTAGCTTCTATATTAATACTGTGAAAGTATCAAAGCCTCAGTCCAAAGAGAAATGCACACAGCCTGTATTCAGAAACTGAGCCTTAAAACCAGCCGTCAGGACTTCTGGAACTTTGTGATGTCACAACAAAGCAGTCACCAAGCCCCGCCCACCTGGACCCACCATCCAAACCTTGCAGGATTTGGTTTCTCTGAGTGTTTTTACCTGAAATCTGCTTTATTTTTATTGGATCACTCAGAAAACAAGTCAGCCAATCAGAAGAGAGGCTCAGAGCCTCCTCTCCTCTGATTGGCTCACCGACCTGTTGTTACTAGAGCTCCAGAGAGAAGCCTGAGAGAGGAGATGTAAAACTACACTGAGATGGTTTTTGGTTCTTAAAACCACAAATATATCTTCTTATGGATCAACACTTCAAATAAAACACAGAAGAAGAAAAGATGGAGCTTTAATTCAGAATAATTGTTAAATATGAAAATGCGTGAATATATGTGAATATTTTGGTAATTTTTTCTGATCTCCACTCTTCGGTTATATGCAACATGCTGACCCAAACAAACAAACATACAAACAAACAAACAAACAAACAAACAAACAAACAAACAAACAAACAAACAAACAAACAAACAAACAAACAAACAAACAGTAATGTCCAGCCTTCCTTACCTGCATGGTGTAGTTTGGGATTGAGGTGACCACGGTTGTATCCTGATTTTATCAGACCATTGTAGTCGTCATTCACCGCCTGTTTCTGTCCTACTGATTCTAAATCGACAGGATGCTTCTTCATCAAATCTTCGGCAGTCATCATGTTCTTGTTCCACCTGTTATTTACCAGCTACAAGGAAAAAGATCCACATGAGAGAAATCTCAGATTTAAACGTCATACTGATTATTTATTGAGCCAAATTTAAGCAATTATATAATTTACAAAATAATTGGTAGATTTCCATTATCTTACATTTTTAATTGTGTATTTGCACATGCACATATAAACATGTGTGGTGTACCTGAGGCTCTACAAACCACCGGTTCTCCCGGGCACATTTATCACTCTTCTCAAATTTATAAGCAGAGTAGACAGGAATACGCCTGGCAGTGTCGTACAGCGTGGCAAAGTAGTACCTGTTTGTGCAAAGATTGAGTAAGAAACTTTTGAACTGAACTTTGATTCAGATTTGACTGATAGAAAAGAGTTGTGTCTTACTTGTTTTCAAAAGTCTGGCAGATGTTGACGTGGTGTTGGGAGGTCTGCAGGTCTGGCACCGTTTTTTTGTAGAAGTACTTGATGCATTTCTGCATAACGAAGAAACAGACAACAATGTGAACCACTTACAGGTTTATCATTCAGCTTACGTTTATGAAAGTAGAGAAACACACAAACCTTAAAGTCTGGCCGAACATTTGCGTGGACAGAAAAGATGAGTAGTAGGAAACCGCATACAGTCACCAAGCTCTGCATTCTGGACTGAACCTTGTATCACAAACCTTTCTCCGCACCAATGAACCAACACAGAAACAAACAGGATATGTATTTTAAACACAGCAACGTGTGGTGACAATACAGCCACTATATGAAGGTGCCTGCTTTATATACAGTAATTAGAGGAAGGAACTCATTCTGTTGTTAACATACATGCACTCATATGGTCAAAGCCTATAGTTGATTCTATAAAGAAGGAGTACTGTATGAAAAGCCTTTTACTTATTTGGTCAAAGGCTGCAGCCATTGCAATAAGGAAAAGCAAAATTTGCAGAAATTGCAACGGTATCAAGCTGTTATGGAAACTGGTGGTCAGTACCATCATCCTCAACTTCCTCTTACAGCTAGAGCAAAATGCACTTCCCTCTGCACATTCATTTAAGAGTTACAGAGAGTTTACTATTCAAAGTATAACATGACAATACAGAGAATCAAATGTGAAAGTATAACAAAGTAAAATGAGTAATAAGCAATAAATGCAAGGAGTAATGAGTAGTAATTAAACATTTTTAAAGTAACTGCATTTTCAGAGAAACATAAATATAAAACATAAAAACAGTAAAACATGAAAACGAGAACATATGGATCATGAGAACATATGGATCATAATGAGTATAACTAAATGCAGCAGTTGAGCATAACAATGAGCGCAACTTTAGTTTATCAATAAATGAATATATATATAATATATATAAAAGGGAAAAAAGGTGAAAATGTAAAATATAGAAATAAGTACATATGGAAATAAAGTAAAACTTGAGTAATTACATGAAAAGTATATTAAAAAGAAGAACAATAAAGTAAAAGCACATAATTAAACAAACCTTCCAAAGTCAATAAAGCTTCAACAGTAGCTGCCAACATCCAGTCATCTGTCTGAAGGCGAACAGTGCGCACTCTCTCAACTACCCCAGTTTGTGGTTTTAATGGGTTTCTTGCAGAAACAATAAAATTCTCGGCAGTGGTTCTTAAAATGTGTTGCATGTCACACATTGTGACTAGCTAACCACAAGTGAAGACCAGAGTGACGTACAAGTGGGCCAAAGCTTCACCTTGAATTTGAATTTTGAATGTTGTCGAAATGTAAATAAAAGTAAAATTAATCACTGTAAATCTCATGTTCTGTGTCATTTTTAATCAAACTTAACTCACAAATTAAGTCTAAGAGGTCCAGAGGCTCACACCACGGTCTTTCCTCTGGTGCCATCCACTGGACAAACTTTACACTTTTTTTATTTTTTATTTTTTACACTGCTAGCATCCAGATCACCCTTGTGCTTCCTGTAATGAGCTCTCGTCCCACTGGGCTGCCACAGACGTTCAGTCTTATTACCGTTTTGCACCTGGTACCTCAGAGGGTGATTTCCAGGAGGCAGCGGTGATGAGCTGTGGAGCTGGAGGAGGCTCTTTGAGATGCAAATGTCCCCCGCTCATCCATGCAGCTCCACACTGACACTTCACACTTTACATCATACAAGATCCTCCTTCCACTTTCTCTCAGCTGCAGCTCGACCACGGAAATGCTGCTCTCTCATCTTTACATCACACGCTGCCGACGGACACAAGACAAATTCAAACCTGTCGCATTGTTTTCATTTAAACCTGAGAGCTGTGTTGGGAAGACGTTCTCTAGGAATAACAGACGGAGCTAATGTCCATACATCAAGTTTTCCCTCACGTTAAAAAAGTGTTTTGTGTTGCCTACCCTTAAAACAGTAGTTTCATCAGACAACCAAGCAAAATGTTGGCTGCCATATGCTGAGAAAAAAAGTTGCTGAATTTAATCTGGGATTTCCAGAAATGTTCAGTTTGGGCACCAAGTGCTCAGATTCAAAGTTTATGTCCATACTGATGTCACAATGAAACAACAATACATTAAAGTACCCCTAACTAATCCTTAACTTCCCTCTGAAAACAGAACAAACAACCAAAGTGTCTAGTGTCATAGCAAGAGATCCCTTCATTTGAAAAACCTTTGTTAAGAAATTTAGTTCATTTTAAGGAGTACATGATTTTGCCCTTAATTAGGGCTTGAGCACCGACCGGTGTGAGGACCCTACTGAAACTGTTGTGTTTCTTCTTTCTTTCTTTCTTTCTGAGGGCATAAACATGCTTGAAAACAATTTTGGCGCCATTTTTGCGATTTAAGGACGTCATACTTAAACGAATCTACATCATTTTTGGTCAGTCTAATCTTAAGACCTTTGCTATGCTAAAAGCAGGAGCTAAAATGAAAATCGAGTTCATGTCAAAAAACAATGTTGGCGAACTGACATTGTGATGTTCAGCAGACGTTGGGTTTTTGTGACATTACCTCACGACTAAAATGTCGGTATTCTAAATCAATATGACGCTGGAAGACGTTTGATTTTGATAATTTAACATTACAACTTAAAAACCAACACAGTATCAACATCGTCAGTATTCTATGTTAAATTGATGTTGGCCTGACATTGAATTTTGGTCATCCAACGTCACAGGCGACATTCGACCAATTATCAACGTCTGCCTGCTCGGTCATACTCACTCTTCATACTTGACGTTTTGGTTGTAAAATTTAAAGAGATACTTTTCAAAGGAGACCAGGGTTAAAGCTGTAATCAAAAAGGTTGAGTAGCAGTTAACGGTTTTATTTTGGGGACAAATTGTGGTTATCTGGTAACAAGATAAAGAATTCTTATTTAGTATTCATGTGTTTAATAAAGTAGGTTTACTCAGATTTGGGCTACACTAACAGACAATGTAAATGATTACAATAAATTTTGGGGGTTTTCTGCATGAATAGATGGGTTTTTACACAAAGTACAAATATCAAGATAATATTAAAGTTACTTATACTGTACCTTAAACAGATTTTTCAATTAATGTGCAAGTCTAGGGTCCCAACCACAATATTGGCTTAATTAATAGATGAATTGATGGATTATAATAAGGTGGTTTTGATATACTGTATTCATATCAATTCCGAGGTGCCTTTTATAGCAAAAATAATGTAATTAATCCATTAAAACCACCTTAATGTACTGTAACCAGAGAAGCTGAGTGTGTCCTGGTCACCTTAAATCACGTCATGGCAGACGTGGCCTTTGTTGTCGGTCTTATCTCCTGTGAATTTCCCTGCCTGCTTATTGACAAAGGCAGCCAAATACACTCACACTTCATTATGGAGAGCAGTGACATCAGCCGGTCGGTGGGTTACCAGGATACCTGGAGAGAGACTCAGCCATCCAATTAAAACACAAGAAGAAGAAGAAGAAAAAACAGGCTCCTGATCAGCGCAGATAATTGTTTTCAGACAGCTGCTGCTGCTGCTTCAGTCAGTCCGCTGCCACACTGAGAAACAGACGAACAACCACAACCAGCATTACACACACAGACGGTGAGTCGATTAATAAAACTGATGGTGTGACGTGAAAAAAGTTGTAGCTTCAGTTTAGACACACTGCAAATGTTTTAGATGTTGTTAATTATTTAGAGAGCTTTCTCAAAATGAATGTGTAAGTTTATTAGTAGTCAAATGAGCATTTCTTTATTTAACCAGACAGGTCACATAACAACATAATGAAACTGATGTGAAACGAGAAAGGGAATGAAAGAAGAAAATAATAAGTAATACTAGATTTCTTTTGTTCAAATGAACATTACAGCTGTGTTTTTCTGAACTGATGGTTATTAAATCAGACTAGAGTTAGAATTTATTTTTGTACAGATTTAAGTGCATGTTATTAATTTTTATGATGCTATTCTCTAACCTGGTACCTACTAGTACTTACTAGTTAAGTATGTGCTGTTGGGTCAAGAATCTGGTGCTTCTCAGAAAACTCCCAAAGGAACAAAGGGAATAAAAATAGAACAAAATGCTTTACTTTCAATGTTGAAATGTTGGTCTGTTTGCACTGTTAAATTAATCATTGAGTTGCAGCCCATTTTTTACCTTTGGAAACAAAAGTTATTTTAGACAAAAAGCTTATATGTCTCAAATACGTGCATTTAAAACACTTCACCCGCATGGTTGATGACCATGGTGGAGCCATGGAGGAGGAGGTCCGATACTAGATGTTACTATACTTTTTCTCAAGAAGTCTCAAAAACCACGCAAGATATGAGTCACTAGGAAATGTTTTTCGATCTTAATTTTAGAAATATTGTTTGCTAGTTTCCTATCTACTCTTTATGTTATGTTGCCTATTAAGAAAAAGCTTGCTAGTTAGCTCAGATAGCAGCAGACAAGCTAATCCGGCATTAGCTGTGCAGCTAAACAAAAACTATGCACATGTGGAAGGAAAATACGACAATAAAATATTAAATTTAATTAGAAATAACTTAAGTACCACTGCAGTTTTCTTTCACTGCGAAACTAGACCGTCCCCTTTCGAAGGCTACTTTAAATGTCACCTTCTTTTCTTGAGCAACAAATGAGCCAATGGGTCGCAAACAACGCAGACAGAAAGCCACTTTTAAATGTGAGTACAGGGTTTCAGCTCAGTTCAAAAGCTACCGGTACAACTGTTAAAGCCAAGGGCCTTTAAACGTCCAAGTTTTTGTGAGAAAAAATTGCGTGCTGGCAAGGATGGTAGGCGACAGGAGGCGTGCTTGGCGGCAAAACAGTGATGGCGGGCACAGCTGGTGACACAAACTGAAAACCCTCTGTATGCCAGACCACCTCATTTCGGTTTGGCCTTTGCGGTCTACCATGGTTACAAAGGGCCACACATTTTCATAGGATGCAAGTCAAATCCAGTCAAATTGGAGCTGTTAGAGAGTGAAATTATTATCTTGATAATCTGCACTTGTTAAATATTATGTTGTTATGAGAAATTAACTGTTTGTCATTTAATCATCATTAATAAAACATTCATATTTTTTTTTTAAATTAATGAAGAAGCAGTCGTTTTAGGGTTCTGAATCAACCTGACATGTAGTTCAAGTTGAATTAATTGCTAAACTGAGTTATTCCGCCCATATAAGAAACGCCTGCAGATTCATCAAACGATCCCTGAGTAATTTGTTTATTTTTTCCACTGTAGTTGCCTTCCAGGTAGTTTTCCTCTCAAGTAATATACAGGTCATTCTCTTCCTTCACAAATCTTAACTTCCAGCCAGGTCTCACCTTGTTCCTACCACTTATTAACTAAACTGTTTGGTTGGTAGAGACTGTCGTGAGTTTTTTTTTACACAACCTGGAAGGCACAGCTGAGGGCAAGAAGTTGCACATTGAGCGCATGCGGCTCTGTGGTGATGCCGCTCTCCTGGTGGTGGTGCCGTCCAGTAGCCCTGCCAGCTAGTCACGGGAGCTCCGTGTAAATTATGATATTTGCGGTGTTTGTCACCGACTTAAGGCTGTGTTGTGTGGCCGCGTAATAAACACAAGATGCGGTTGTAGTTGTTGCTGGGGGCGTAATGTGCTGCAGCACCCGCATACGAGCAGCAAACAGCGGGTAGTTATGCTAACTAGCAGCGGCTAGTTCGCTAACGTTCAGCTTTTTTTTTTGTTTTTTTTTGTTTAACCGTTAACCACTTGGGCCGTCATGTTAGCTCCGTCCTCCGGTGTCCACGCTCTGCTTTGCTGCGGCATTTCTTCCCCCCGTGGGGCAGATATAACCGACGGTTAGAGCCCTCACCAGCCCAACAACATGACCCCCACACAGTGAGCTAGCAGGCTGCTGTTAGCGGCTAACTTAGCCGGTGATGCTAGTAGCAGCAGAGTCCGTCCACGCCGCCCGCAGCTGAAAGTCATGTCCGTCCCATGGAGCTGAAGTGTCGCTCGGCTTGCCAAAGATGACGGCCCGCAAGAGCCGGGTTTTTGTGCCTCTGTCTGCAGGAGGCGGAACATGGAAGCCGAGGAAGAGTGGAACAAAGACCTGAGTG